CAGGAGAAATTGAGTGTTAGTCTCAGGAGAAATTGAGTGTTAAACAGTTATTCTCAGAATTATACATGAAGCTATGTCAGTGAACATTTAGGGTACATATGCACAAAAAGTCCTAAATTAAAGAGAGCCTAGCATATGTATCTGATAATTTAGTTATAGATAAATTAAGCTGTGTATTCGGTGCAGTGTAACAAAAAATGGAGTATCGATGAGGAATCTCAGTAAAGTTTCATTCACAGAATGCTGTTTCGTATGACCCTGGGCTTTAGACATCAATATTCTTCTGCTCAAGTTCATTGATCTGATCTGACCTTCAGAATGTGACACGAGCATGTTCATCAACTGGCCAGTATTAGCTCTCCCGATGTCTGTAGTGATTAAATGAAGTCTGTAAAACTCTTTATCATCATCTGACAGAAACAATAGGAAAAGAGCATCTAGAGGACTCAGACTGATAAACATGCAGTTCATACAATATTCATTTTTAATCCAAGAGCAAGTACATGTAATTAGATTGATCATTAAAGAGTAGTGTTATAACTTAAGTTACAAAGTGTAGTTAGTCATTATAGTTGAGAATCATTAGGAATTACCTAGATTATGCTCCTAGTCTGGCCAACGGTCAATAAGCATATGCAAGGTTGGCCGTGGGTTTCCGACGATGCTAGTTTCCAAAAATTAGTTGACATGGAGCTGAGGAATTAGCAAGGTTAAATATTCTACTGAAAAGATTACCACAGAGTCAATTCATTCAATGAGATATACTGTATATATGTCATACTGTAATGAATAGATTACCACATTGTCAAGAAATTACCTAGGTTACATTTTGTAATTTCAATAGGTTACATATTATCAGGAAATTAAATATGTGACATTTTCAAGGCTGTCAGAATAGGTGTGGTATTGGGAGTGATCAAAAACCACCTCCCACCTCCATCCTCACCCCTCTCACCCCCTTTAAAAAAAAATCCTGAAATACAATGTTTATTTTAGAACAAATTAAAATCATTTTGACTTGCTTATAAGGAAGTCACTGGGACCTCAGTTTTCTTCCTTGTAATTGAGATTCTTAATATCTGTATAAGGAATATTATAGAGAAGTCTTCTATGTGATTCATAAAGATTCCATATTTCGAGATTTCCTTATAAGCAAGTTCTTCATAACCGGATTTTACTGTATTTTATGCTTTGTTTATTATATACCATATATGAGAAAAATGCCTTCAAAAATGCACTAAAACCCACCAAAATAATACCTACTAATAAATAAAAAGTAAAAATTTGTGGACAACACAAAAGCTAGACTGTTGGAAACCACATCATTGCACAGAAAGGCACACTGGAGAGCTAAGAATATGTAGACTCAAAGAGGTTAGGTTACAGTGATCATGTGACACAGGGCAGGACAGACACAGACAAACACACAGACAAAGCTAAGAATATGTAGACTCAAAGAGGTTAGGTTACAGTGATCATGTGACACAGGGCAGGACAGACACAGACAAACACACAGACAAAGCTAAGAATATGTAGACTCAAAGAGGTTAGGTTACAGTGATCATGTGACACAGGGCAGGACAGACACAGACAAACACACAGACAAAGCTAAGAATATGTAGACTCAAAGAGGTTAGGTTACAGTGAGTATGTGACAAGGAGCAGGACAGGAGACTGTTTACAGATGAGAGATAGGCTAGAAGTGATACAGGACTTATCATCCCCTAGAGGGCGTTCTACAAGCATACCATTTACTTATCCACCAATAAATAAGGCTATTGAATTCCTATAGAGGAAAGTTCAGATATTATGACTCCTAGACTCCAGGCAGAGAGTATTTCTTGTTGTTGATGGTCCATCAGACAACCTTATGAATTAAATGTACAGTCTGCTTTGCTGCAGGGATGTCACTGAAAGGTCAAGGTCACAAATTTATGTACAACTTATAGTAATATACCGTATAAGCAGAAATTTTAACGAGGATTCAATTTTGGCATTTTTAGCAAGGGTGTTGAGATCACTAAAATTACATTGTCATTTTTAGCAAGGGTGTTGAGATCACTAAAATTACATATTGCTAACAATTTATTTCGCTTTAAAAGTTACCATTATCTTTCTATTCACCATAAAATCACTAAAATTAAATACTGATTTTAAAGGACAAATCGCTTAATATATCTTGCTAAAAATTCCCCTTATATGGTAATCTAGAATTGGGAATGATGAAGAATGTCTTTCTAATTGATACATCTCTGCAATAACCTGTTACATGAGTTTTCAGCTGTAATAGTATATTGATTTGGCTTGATTAATGGGTATACTGTATAGTAAATGATTTTAAGGCATGAAGTTTAAAGGCAAAACACTGATATGTGGTATTATTGGCTTCTATATACCATCATCAAACTACATGCAGTTGGTGAAAAGTCTGGATTTAAAATGTTTATTGAACAGAACATGACTCTATGTGTATGTAGTAATTTGCCTTATAGGTTTATATCATCCAATTTATGTTACTTTTCCTATAAAGTACTACATGTATAGTGAAAATATGAGTGTGAATGTTTCATAATTATACATGCCATTTAAGCAATCTATAGACAGATGCCTCCTTGCTTAAGCTAGATTCTACCTCTAGATCACTACTCTGATATCAAAGGGAGGTAATCCTTGCTCAGCAGCTGGGCTTGTCTGGCAGTCAGGACTCTAAAGTGGAGTTTGATCAGCTGCAACAAAGAAAACATGGAAAGTGCAGCACCACTCTTAAGTAAACAATAGGAATCATGCTTAGATAATCAGAAATTATCTTCCTATCCTCTTTGTTTAGCTATTTTGAGACGGAATTTTAATTTTGTAAAGAGGTTTTCCTGTACACAGCTTGATTCCGATGCTGTTGGAAGTTGACTAGGGTGTTAGGCAGTGTTTGATACCAGTTCACGGGGAGCCGAGTAAGAACAGGGTGATAAGGTGCTTAAGTGCACAACTGAAAGTCTTAATCTGTCAATGTATTGTAAATAATTGGTCTGACTACCTAATTAACATGACTAATACAACTATCATGTACATTTGAACTCTTCTCATTCGCTAGCTGTGAGGTGCTGTTACTTGTTCTGTAGTGAGTAAATTAGCATCACTTTTATTATATGCTATGTATTGTTGTTATATACCATGTATCACTCAGTTTTACTGTTGATTTTAAGCAATCAAAGGACGGTATGATCTGATTTTCCGGATCACCACACTTTGTTTTTCTGAATCCGTATATCACCACGTACTCTCTGAAACTGATGACGTAGTGCACAGTATACAAAAATTCTTTTTTTCTTGTATATCATTAAAATTCCTTTGAAATGTGTTTTGTTAGATATATAAACATTGTGTTATTAATCCCAGAATGTTCTTTTATGATATTTAGCTCATATGATGTAGAGCCAGGTATATAATAAATTTATCATTTTTAACAATAACTTGTTTCTGAAGGCCAGATGATGTCTTGTTAACAGGTGCAAATCATTAAATCAAACTCAATACTACGCATTTAATCCATTTGATCTGATAATCTGCACCTGTCAACACAATGTAATATGGCTCTTCGGATCAAGTTACCATTATCATAATGTAATATATAAAGGTTTTCGTACGTGTACCAGTAATTACTTTGTTTGGAGTTCTAAATATTGAACAAAGAAATCAGATGTTCCCTTTGGTTTGTGTGTGTGTGTTTTTTTTTTAAATACATTCAATGAAAGCTTACCTGAAGTTTGGTGTGACAGCTTGTGAAAACCTGAGATAAACTGAAAGAACAAAAATAACAAGCCATATTGAAAATCAGTTTTTTTTCTCTCAAGAACAGATCGATATGAATTATTTCAAGTGTAGCTTGATTTAGTCCCCTACATATTCGTAAACTAATTAAGTACTAACAGTGCATGTATATAGTACTAATGTATTGGGATCGAATCATAACAAGAAACTAGTTGTATTCTTTTCACTGGAAATGAAGATTTTATCTTTCAACAGTATCATAAGATCACTTTTACTCACAATTCTGAGTAACGATTGTAATAAAGTTCAAGTACTGTGATTTAGACAAATTATGATCAACTGATGCAGAGTGTCAAGTGTCATATACTGCAGTACTTATAGTTTGATAGCCATAGGTACTATGAGAGAGTTGCAAAGTACATATAAAGCATGTGAGAGTTATCTAGGGCACACTGTCATACAGGACTAATGATGACAAGCTGGTCTAGACTAAGATAACAGTGTAGTATTAGAGTATCTAGGTCACAATTATATAAAGCTGAGAAGAAGGAGGCTTGTACAGACTAAATCTCCAAAGCCTGTATAATCACCTCATAGGGGGAAAGTTTTTTTTTTTTAAGATATACCGGGTATATATACATGTATATGTATATGTTTATTCACCAATTAAGGGCCCTCAGGGGGCATATACAATTATTTCAGAATGATTACATATAAATAATATTAAAGTATATTGTAATTTGAAAGAATATAATTTAATCATATCTATCATTAGAGATGAGGTTAATGTGCGACATTATGTTAAAAAACTTCAAAAGTATGTTCTTTTTAAAAATTGTTTATAGCTAATAGAATAACACATTAACACAGCTCTATTTTTCTGAGTTTTAACACTTGTAAGTTCAGTAGAATACATAAAATAAAAAAAAAGAAATATCAAAAATTAATTGGGGGTTATTTTTAGTAGATTATTGGAAGGCATTTTAAGTACCAGGTAGATTTAAATTTATATTTGATGTTATTTTTAGTAGGTTTTAACTATTGGATGTTATTTATAGTAAGTTTAATTATTGGTTGGTATTTTTAGTAGGTTTTAATTATTGGATGTTATTTATAGTAAGTTTATTATTGGTTGGTATTTTTAGTAGGTTTTAATTATTGGATGTTATTTTTAGTAAGTTTTAATTATTGGTTGGTATTTTTAGTAGGTTTTAATTATTAGATGTTATTTTTAGTAGGTGCCAGAAACCTCCGTGTTCCTGCGGAGACAGTGCCACTTTCTGATCCGATCTCTGCCACCAGGATGTTGTGTGGCGCCCTCATCATGCCAACCATTGCCACCATCATGGGAAAAATCATGCTGGGATCTGTTCACTCAAACTTCCAGCGCACGCTACTGGTATATAGAAACACATAAAAAAGCTTAATAAATAGTAACCAGTTCAAAATTAAAAATGCAGTCCATTCTACATTCTAATGTTAACTGTTCACAAATTTTCTTGACTTGTGAGATTTCCATTTTCTAAAGAAAAAAAAATTTCCTTCCAAAGTACCAGAGTTTAAATAAATGTCATTTACTTATCTAGGCAAAATATGTTCAGCACATTTATTACACAGTCGGACTGTTTTTTGTACAACAAGACATTTTAATATATGAAAAAAAAAATAAATTACCAATTTTTGATTTTCAGGGTGGTGTAGCTTTCACAATACTTAAAGGAGCACTGAAGATTTACTATAAACAACAGCAATATCTACGACAGGCAAATCGTGTAATCAAAGACTATCCTATGGAGGACAATACTACATCATCATCTGTGTAACTATAGCTAGTAAGAAAGGTATCTGGACCTCATATGCCAACAAAATCAATTCAGACACGCTGAAAAACACTATTTCAGGAATTTTTCCAACAAAAGAATCTAAATTTCATCCTAGCTACTAGACATGACTAGAGTAGTGACATAGGCATGATCATAAGTTATGGTGGAAAATGAGAGAAAGGGAGATAACTCTGCCAGGATTGTGCTTTTTCAAAAATAATAATTTGCAGCTGGTTGATGATGGACAAGTATTGATGAAATTGTGATATTATGATACTACTGTCTTGTATTTTCTCAGTATTTTAAGGATAAACTGTGTTAAGTCATATGTATTCAGCTTTCCAGATCAATGTGCTAACATTCTACCAATTAAGATATAGACCAAAAGATTCATTGGAACTTTTGTAAATGATAATGGTGCCATGTGTAAAACATACAATGATATGATATAATTTGTTAGACCGTTCTAGATATTGTAAATTAAATCAAATTCACTTCTGGCTGACAACCACTTCTGTATAATTTCTGTACATGTATTTAGGAGTACTGTAGTTTTTAGCTAGACACAAATCTGGCAAAAAATGTCCTTAAAAATTGGTATATAATTTTTGTTAGAAGTAATTTAGCAGTTGTTTAATTCCAAGAAATATAACTCTTATATCTGATGTGGAATGAATTGTGAATGATATTCAGTTTTAACAGTTTCAACACTCTCACTAATAATGCCAAAATTAAATCCTCGCAAAAAATGCTGTTTTTACAGTACATGCGTACCTTCTTGATTACTGCTCTAAGTGTGTCAGAATTAATCAAACTTTCAATGGAATTCGTTTTAGAAAAGTACTCTTTTTTTGGCAGTTTTTTTCTGATGAATGAAGTTTTTAAAATTTTCAGAGACCTGTCCCTATAATGCAGGAAAAATATATTTGAAAACTGCATGTTATCTCATAAATTATAGGACGCCATGTACTAGTTCTGTCAGAAAGTTGGTAGCCAGCCAGTCATAAGTCATTTTTTTTTATGATTTTCCATGAGGGAGAATGTAAAATAACTTTTCAGATCGTGTGTACATGTACAATACATGTACAACATTTATTAAAAAACAGGATATGACTAGAGAGGAACTTATTTTTGTTTTGAAAATGATTTTTGTGACATGAAACGCATCATAATTATCATATGAAGTTGTCATTGTAAATACCTTTTCCAGACAGACAAGTCTACATTTATTTAGTTATTATATGGATGAATAATTATTCCTAGCTCTCTGACTGACTGAGGTCCAACAGTGTAGAAATCATATTAAGTTATTTTCACCTGCATGAGACCTTCCATTTTTTTCTAGGTAAAAGCAAACCAGTATACAAGCTATAAAAATACCAGTTTGTTTTTACAAAGTGCCACTTTCTTTGAAACCTACGTGCACAGGAGACATTAAATGTAGAATTAACTTTGGACAGCCTTAGAGCAAAAAATAAATCAAAATTTTGAATTGATAAATTAAGTATGAAAAGTTATGTTTACCTGCCCTCCAGGTAAACATAACATGTATTTTTTTTTTACATTGGACCAAAAATAGACTATGAACTTCTAAATTGATACAACTGGTTAAGAAAAGTTGTATTTCACCTGCACCTGACTTTTAGATTGCATTTATTTCTATGACATTGTACATCTCACAAAATAGATTAAGAAAATCTAAATTAATACAACTGAATATGTTTTTCTTATTCTCGCTTCTCTTACTGTATTCGATTAGGACTTCAATAAATGTGAACAATCAAGATGGCAAAGTTTGCTTAACTAGTTTGTATCATTAATAAATCATTGAATCATATAATAAATCAATTATTGCTGTTTTTGAGGTCAATATGATGATTTAGCCACCCTCAAAGTACAATATTCATCTCTGCCCTTCGGGCTTGGTGAATATTGTACTCCTCAAGAGGCTAAATCATCATATTAACCTCAAAAACAGCAATATTTGTGTAATGTTCATAGAATAGCTTAATCACATTTTAATGTATATAAAAGTTATGTAACTTGTATAATATATCAAGAAAGATGCATGGAAGGACAGCACTGACAGGGAAAAAAGGAAAAGAAACTTTGTAATTTGATAGAAAGAGATAAGTAGACTCTAGATGTGTTAGGTTTTACTAACATAAGCAAAGTATCTTTGAGCACCTCCTAAAGATAAGTAAAAAAAAAAGGGGGGGGCTCCTTAAGCTTCATCATCTTCCTAGGTTTTCTAGACTACGTATACAGTTTGAACATTATTACTCAGGTTAGCTCGTTAATTCTAGTACATTTTTATCATGTTGATTATGATAAAATGGTTTGTAACTTTTAATTTTCCTTTTGTTCATATATAGTGTGATAAGTACTTACATAAATGTACTTATAATTTGCTACTTTATTGGGTGATTGCTTTGTTATATTTTGTTATATATATATATATATATATATATATATATATATATATATATATATATATATATATTATATATATATATATATATATATATATATATATATATATATATATATATATATATATATATATATATACTGTCAATTTTGGCAGTTAGAAATATTTCTCCTGAAGTATTGGTTTGTGTGATGTTTTTGTCATGCTTTTGCCTGTAATCAAAAGAAGCTTGTGAATTTTAAGGGAGCTGACTGGGATTTTTTTTTAGTGTAAAAACTACAAAAGAAAAGCTCTCCTTTATACCATGTATATCCTACACTGACTTCAGTGTACATGCAAAGTTTCATCAAAATCTATTGTAGGGTATTTTTAGGGACCATCTCAGAATACAGTTACATTTAATGTAATGGAAACCCTAGTTGGTCCCTTTAAGGTTTATGACATAATGATTGTCAAAAACAGAAGAGTTGTGTATAATTATAACATATCTGAATCTATAGCAAGAGAATTACTATGAAGAGAGACATGCCACATCAAGCAATAACTATTCAATGCTAATGATAGATTTTTACAAAAGTTAGATATGGTGAGCTTGCTTAGTTTTTCTCTAACTGTACAATGCCTCACTAATGTTGATACAAAAGCTGGATATTTTTCAATAAACAGTTAAATTCTGATGAGATCTTGTCCTGAATTGTGGTATGACATTACAGAACAAATACATGCACTGTATTTTACCTCTTATAGAGTCAAAACCCCACCATGAGCCCATGACAAAGTTGGTGACAGTTTATCTGCATTTCAGGGAAAATTTATTGAGCAGGTCTGGTTCCCAAGTACCTGCAGGATTATACTCCTATGGATGCATGCTGCAAGACTTGTTTTCTAGTAGACCTGAAGATTGAGGCAGAATGGCTTGTATATGAACTGATGAAGATATTTATAGTTAGAGCATGTTCAGATTTCATCTTCAGTATGGGGTTTAGAATCCTCTATCTTTCACTGTTGTCTTCAGACGTCTGAAGTAATTGACCTGCTTTTCTGATGGGGGTATCAGGTGCCCTTGTGGTGTACTGTATTAAAATATATAATTGATTGACTTAAGCTGGTATAAATTTCCTACACTTGGTGAATTGTGAGACCATGGTTACAAAGACACTTGTGCTCCACTTCCCCCAACTCTATTAGGAGTCTCTCCCATCTTCTTTACATATGTACAGAATATGCACATTTGTAACTCGAGGTACTGGGAGGAAGCTCACAAAATTATTCCCCCTGCTTCAATTTTTTAAAGGGTCTATGTGCAATTTTGTAAATTTGACCTTGAACCTTGCCAAAATGACCTTGGTAAAAAAAAAAAAGACTGATCCAGTGGTCATAAATAATCTTTAGTGAAATATGGACATACAATGTTTTATATGAAAATTATAGTTTTGTCATGAATTTCATAATTTTTTTAATAATTTTTTCTTTCAGTACCCCTGAACTGACCTTGGATCATGGTTATGACACATTCTCAAGTCATAAACAATCTCAAATTGTACCAAGTATGACCTTCCAGTGATTCTCCATTACAAAATTATAGCCTGGACAAGAATTTAACATTTTTTCTACCAGTGACCTTGAACTCACCAGAATGACATTGGGTCAAGACTCACCCTTAGGTCATTGAAAATCTTTGAACCAAGTATGAGCTTCCAATGATTCTCCATTACAAACTTACTGCCTTGACAAGTTTTAAAAAAAAATTTCTGCCAGTGACTTTGAACTCGCCAGAATGACCTTGTTCAAGGTCATGACACACCCTGGAACCATAAATAATCTTTGTAACAAGTATGAGCTTCCAATGGCTCTACATTACAAAATTATAGCCTGGATAAAATTGGTATAGATTTACATTGCACAAAAAAAGAATAATTAAACTGTCAAGAGTTCCACTACACAAGTCCCAGTCTGGCCAACACTTGTTCCCGCTGTCATAGATGTAATATTCACTTTAACTCAATTTAGGATCTGTGACCCTGATGCAAGTACACATGATTTTTTTGTGAGCTGGTGTAATGAAAACACACAAATCAGCTGTTTTCTGTTTATTTCCACCATTCCATAGACTACATGTGTACTCAAACGTGATCAACTACAACACTCAGAAAAACAAAGGACACACATATAACTCTCTCTCTGACATTCATCCAGTTATATATTGGTAAAAGCTTAAAGATCATCTCTCATGTTACACCATGAGGCATTGTTTTTAAACAAAATTTCTTTGTAAAAAATGATCAGAAAATAAAATAATTTTTAATTCAAACGTAAATAATACTTTATATTACTTTGGATTACTTTCTAAATTAACTGCATTTACAGAATCAGACAGAAATAGAGAGAAACTGGAGTTGGACATTAATGTCTAACAATTTCACAAAATGACAATCTTACAATATAAATCTGCAGAAAATTTACATTGTGAAAAAAATCTCATGCTGAACCTTAAAATAGGGCCCCTGATACAACAGAAAAGTTTTAGTAAACACACACACAACAAAAACATAATTATGCCATCAAAATATGAACTCATTGTGAGCACATATGTAGAATTATATAATGTAATTAGATCAAAATCTACATAAAATATACTAAATTTGTAAGGACCATTTAAAATAAATTCTAAAAAGTAAGCTCCTTTGAAAATTTTATATACCTGGTAATATTTTCAGTTCAGACTACAGTAATTACTTACACTTTCAGAAAAAAAAAACTAACATTATTTTACAAATGCTTGCCAGTCTGTTTCAATATATATTTGATTAAATTAATAAATTGAAAAGTTTTGTTTTCAAATATAATAATGCATATTCTCAACATCAAACATAGGTGGATATTTCATGTGTGGAATGCACATAAAATTCACTGAAAAAAGACAAACAAAATCACATCAATTATCACAATATAGATATGTAAACACATGATTTTCATATCACTCACCATTCCAACTTGCAGTACATCTCTCTTTCTCTCTCTTCCCTTCTCTGTCTCTCTCTCTCTGACACGCATACACAAACATACATCAATTTTAAGTGTAATAAGATCAATAAATTATCAGTATATACAATATTTGATTATAATGAATTTTGTACATGACTTTGGTAGATCTGGCTTTCTGACAAACAGTAGATTGTGATATTTTGCTGACTGCTGTAAAATCAATGACTGTTCATGAAAAATTGTGCACAAGAATGAATGAATATGAATCAAGCATCTCCCAACAACTATATATACATAAAGAACAAACATTAATATGTATCATTATTACATTTTGTTACTTCAGGGCTCTCACACCACTTTTTGGGACTGGGGCCGGGGCCATAAAAATTGGGAAAATTAGCGACCTTTTGGGTAATTTTGGGAAAATCATAACTAGACATTACACATTAAATTCATAATATATTGAGTTTCTGGTGGTTGTTATCAACTTAATTTCTGTTTTGTAAAGCAGAGAAATATGAATTACAAGTTTAGTAACTATATATCTTTCTAAATGTTGTTTAATATTTGGGGAAGTGACAGATTGAGAAAATTAACACAATCAATTGGGAAAAAAGGTGTCTTTTTTGAATTGGGAATGGGGCCTTTGAATGGCCCCAAATATAGAGAATCGAGAGCCCTGTACTTTGAGTCTAAATCAGGCAGTCAGTTTCTTTTTTGGAAAATCATATTTGTTTTTATAAGTTCTGTACAAAAAACTGTGAAAATAGTGATAAAGCCATCAACAAATCAAAAATCATTACATATATGTACAACAGATAACACAGGTGAGTTACTATTTACATACTATACAACAATCATACTTGGAGATGTTTAGAGAAAGTATTTACAAATAAAAAAATAAAACGGGAAAAATATCACAGAAAAAAAGGATATTGGCAATGATAGGAAGATGATGATGATGATGATGGAAAAATGTGCTGAAGGTAGATGTCGTATCAAATGCCACTTTAACGGTAACAAAAATCACTCAACTGCTACACTTTACAAATCAATGTTTATATTGACTTTCCCAATCAATGTTTAGACTGACTAAAAGTAAAAGGAGCTGATAGCACTTTTGGCAACCTAAAACCCGTTAACGTTTGTAAATTCTGAAACATACTTTCCAACACATGACCAAAAAATGAGCATTGTGAAAAATCAAGATCCAATGACTAGTGAGAATTTGACATAACTCTAGAAGACAACCATGATCATTCAGATACACAAATAAACAACATGTTTCTAACACATGTCAGACTTAAATTAATGCAAAAATAAAATAAGGAAATCAACGACTCTGATTGGAATCATAAAATGTTAAAATCTTTAAATATATAACACATATACAATAGCTGTAAGTATTCTTCTTTGTAAGTAACATTGCATTGTTGAAACAGATGCAACAAATGTGTTTTTTTTTTTTTGTATTTTCATTAGCACCTTGATTTTTTGTAAGATTCATGAAGGAAGGTTAATCAATAACCCCCCTTTTCAGTAACACACAATAATCACTTCCTGTGAACACGAGGGTGGATCCCTGGGGAGTGTTCTCGATACTAGACACACATATCCTGGTTCCCAGGAAACAACACTTTTTTATGTTTACTTTTGTCCCCCTTCCCTCCATGTTCCAAGCTTTGCTTTCGATGATGGCCTTAAAAAATAATGGTTCAAATTAATAAGCTAGGAAAAAGCAGTTAATTGCAAAGGGGAATAATGACTTCTATTGAGACTTCTGTAACTTGTACAAGAACAGTATGATTCACAACTACTCACTGGACAATGTATGTCATCAAAATATTTCATAAATAGGACTTTTACATACACTTTGTACATTTCTATTGTGTCTTATTTACTAAATCAATCCGTCATCTAGTGGCTTGCCTAATTAATGATTAAAATCATGTAAAATGCCCATTTGACAGTAGTGAAACTGTACTAGTTATTGTAGAAATGATTGTCTGAGGTCTTTAACATGATCAATACTAAGCCACTGAATAAAGCATTCATCACTGCCTATATCTCTCTCTCAGGGGCCAGACTCATTTTGACCAGAACAATTGCTATTGACATCCCTGAGTTACCCAAATAGGAGTCTTGACTTCCTAGCTGTGACCAGAGCAATGGCTATTGACATCCTTGAGGTCCCATGGGACCAGAGCGCTATTGACATCCCTGAGGTACCATGGGACCGGAGCACTATTGACATCCCTGAGGTCCCAATAGGAGTCTATACTTACCAACTGTGACCAGAGCAATAGCTATTGACATCCCTGAGGCCCCATTAAGGATCTAGACTTACCAACTGTGACAAGAGCACTGGCTATGGCTACCCCTGAGGCCCCATTAGGGGTCCACTCATCATCCCCCGTTGGTAGCTGTACAATCAGTGATATAACTGCAGCCTTCTGGTGATTTAGTGGCTCATACGCAATCTGACTGGGTTTTGTATTAGTCTGGAAAAGCCAAACAAAAAACTGAAATATTATTTAACCTATTAATTATCTACTCATGAACTACAAAAAGTCTTTTGTTAGTGTGCAAATCATTTTCGGAAGTTCTATCATTTATAATAGCAAATTGTTTAATACTTTTATAAAGTTCCTGACCTTTTTACGCTTTCTGAGATCTGTTTCTTTTTTCTCTGCTCCGATTGGGTCATACTTTCTGTCTATCTCCACAGTGATTGAAGAAAATGGCCGACTTGCCATTTCTTCCATCTCCACCATCATACGCTGAAAATGATGACAAAATTCTTATTTAGGTCTGGTAAGAAATACGAGTCCCTGGAACTTTTGTATCTTGAACACTATTATCTTGAATATACATTGAAATGTCAGTCATGGTTTGACTGTAGTTTAGTATCAGACACAAATGACATGAGACCAATCTAACTTTTTCACTTTTTTACTTAGGAAGCAAGCATCATTCTATTCTTCTCTTTATATAACTTTGCACTCAGGAAATGACACAAATTATTTCAAACAAGCATTATAAAACAGTAAACAAGAATCAATGCATCACATACCTGTCTCCGGCGGTAGATGTCATATTTATGTTTGATCTTGTATAGAACCGCAGCTATAATTAACAGCGACAGGAAACAACTGAAATGGAACAAACAAATCATTACAGTCTGACAGCACTTCTAATTTATTCTCAGAACCTCTTGGAATGGATTTACAGTGAACAGACATTTAATAGCTACCCATCTGTTACTGTAAAATACAACTTTTTACAGCTGTTCTCATCCAACTCATTATACACTCAAGTAACTGTCAAGTATTGCTACACTCAAGTAACTGTCAAGTATTGATACACTCAAGTAGCTGTCAAGTATTGATACACTCAAGTAACTGTCAAGCATTGATACACTCAAGTACCTGTCAAGTATTGATAAACTCAAGTAACTGTCAAGTATTGATACACTCAAGTAGCTGCCAAGTATTGATAAACTCAAGTAACTGTCAAGCATTGATACACTCAAGTAACTGTCAAGTATTGATACACTCAAATAACTGTCAAGTACTGATACACTCAAGTAGCTGTCAAGCATTGATAAACTCAAGTAACTGTCAAGCATTGATACACTCAAGTAACTTTCAAGCATTGATACACTCAAGTAACTGTCAAGTATTGATACACTCAAGTAACTGTCAAGGATTGATACACTCAAGTAACTGTCAAGTATTGATACACACACATTGATACAAGTTGCTGGACCGAAACTTAAATTAGAAAAAACGGAATGTATATTAACTGGCTCCCTGATAAATGAATTCGCCAATGAGACAGATATTAATGGAGTTAAAATCGCCAAAACTTGTGTAAAATCTCTCGGTATTTATTTAGGGCATGACAAGGTTGAATGTTATGAAAAAAATTGGACAAGTAAACTTGGAAAACTTGAAAAAATACTAAGTGTCTGGAGAAGACGAAATCTAACAATATTCGGAAAATGTACCATCATAAACACATTAGTTATTTCTGAGATATTGTATAATGCCTTCATACGACAAAATTCAAATGTCGTCTTTTTTTTTCAAAAATGTTTCTAAGCTCATATATAACTTTATATGGAAAAAAAGAGGTAGAATTAAAAGAAATACTCTTATTGGTAATGTTGAAAACGGTGGAATTGGAATCGTCGATGTTGAAAGCAAATTTCATGCTGCAAAGGCATCATGGATTAGCAGAATAGTTAAAATAGAAAGTGTTACACACCGATTTCTTAATAATATTCTGCAACAGTACAATATCTCAGTATTTGATATTATCAAAACTAGCGAGTGTAATTTTATCGAATCCGAGTTTTTCAAAATGTTGAATCTGCCAAAATTTTACGGCAATGTGTTTACAGCATTTAACAGATGTAAAATGCAAAGAAATGCCAATAATTTAAAGAGAGACGAATTTTTAAGTGAATTTTTATGGAATAATAATCTTTTTCAATTTAATTCAAAACCCTGTGTTTTAAAAATTGGAAACAAAGTGGTATTTTGTATATTAAAGTTATATTTGACGAATCAGGGGAAATGTATGATATCAATTATTTTTTGAACAACTTGAAACGAAAAAATAACATATTATGTGAATATTATATGCTTAAAAAAGCTGTTAAAGAGTATAAACAAATTTTTGACTGAAAGTAAAACCAAACATGTATTTTTTATTTAAAAAACAGGTTTTAAAATCAATTCGAGAGATAAGAAGCAATTTTTATTGGTATGAAATTTCAAAAACCTTTATTTGAAAACAGATGGAAAAAAATATTTAATGTTCAGGATGGTTGTATATGGAAAAATATTTATAAAAACAAGATTTCAAATATGTACGAGAAGAGAATATCAGAATTTAATTATAAATTATTACATGGTATTTTGAACAACAATGTTTCTGTAAGCAAGTGGAACAAAGATATTTCTCCTTTGTGTGAAAATTGTGAAAATGAAGATGATACAAAACATCTCCTGTTTGATTGGAAAATTATTAAACCCATATGGGAAAAAGTGAGCCTTTTTCTAAAATTTGACATTACTTGGAAATTAATTGTACTTGGATTTTATAATGAAAGTAGTGAAAAAACTTTGCTTTTTAATAATTTGTTAGCATTTATTAGCTTCACTATGTATAAATATAAGATGAAATGTAGATTACAAAATGAGAAAATGTCAGAGGAAAATCCCCTTCACAGGTTGAAATATATGCTTTATATTCAAAATGATGTTCTTAGAAAGATTGGTCAGATTAGAAGTGATATTTATCATGATTTAGCTGATTTTTTGTAAAATATATATATATATATATATATATATGTGTGAGAGGATGTGTGTGGGTGGGTGTGTGTGTGTATATGTATATATATGTATGTATGTATATATGTGTGTATATGTATGTATGTATGTATATATATATATATATATATGTGTGTGTGTGTTATAATGATATTGACTACTATGCATCTTTGTATATTTTTATCTAATACTAATATCTGATATGACGTTAATATTGATGTTATGATATGTTTGTGACCTATTATGATTTTAATAAAAGAAAAAAAAAAGTATTGATGCACTCAAGTAACTGTCAAGTATTGATAAACTCAAGTAACTGTCAAGTATTGATAAACTCAAGTAACTGTCAAGTGTTGATACAATCAAGTAACTGTCAAGTACTGATAAACTCGAGCACTGCCAATTACTGATACCTGTGTTTCCAAATAAAGTTCTTGTTTACCAAAATTGACAGGAATCTTAGAAGCTTTTATATGTGTCATCAAGGAATACCTTCACTTTACCAATTTGATGTCTTTATAAAGATAACATCATGTTGTACAAAATTACTCAACATTTTTTTTTGGCTGATAAAAATAACTGCTGTTTACCCAGTAATGTTTTGCATGTGATGGTTTGAGTCTATAAAGTGAAGTACAGTAACTTGATCAGTAAATACACAGAAATAATTATTTCTCTTTGGCTAATTAAAAGTACAGAGTGTATATTTAAAGTACTTAATACCTGAAGAATGTTACAAAGAAGTGAACCAAATCTATCTTGGGAAACTGTGAGAAAGAGATCTGAAAGGAAAAAAAATTGTATTCAACTGCAGATAAATTAATGTGTTCATGATCTGATAAATCAACAGTTAAACAATATTTTCTATCTATCTTTGTCTCAATTGATTGAAATTCTTAAAAATGACAAGAAATAAGACCTTTTATAGATGTTATCACTTCAATAAACACATAATATGCCATTTTTAGTTCCCTTGAAGGAATTCTTCTGTAAAAGAGATCAGGAAAAGTAAGCCAAGTGGCATCATCATACTCTTAAAAAGGAAGTATCTAGTAATTGGTTTCAGGTGGCTGATTAGTTCTTAAATATTCATTGTAACAACAAAAATCCCCTCCCCCCAAATTCATATAGAAAATTAACATCATTTCAAATTGATAAATAGGAATCACAAGAAAACAGCATTTTAAAAACATTCTGTATCATGTAACTCAAAATTTAGGTCCAATATCTAAATTCATATTGTACTCTTCTTTTGCATGTATATTTACTTGAGGTACCTGTACTATTTCCTTGTCAAAAGAATGAGGCACTAAAAGTACTTTTCATTTCAAAAGAGTTCCAACATAGGGATTTCAAAAATGGCCCAATGACAAACCTGTAGCCAGAATGGGGTTTTAAACCCATAAACATATACAAGGAATGTAGTGTTTTCTGAGGGTCCAAACGAATATTCCCCATGGTCAAACTTGGCCCTGAAGTAATTACATGAGTGTTGTTTGACGATCATTGTCTCCCTGTCACCCTGAGATTCTACAAACAGACAAACTCGCAACTAAAACAAAGTCTGCAATACTAAGAAACTGAAGAATCATATATCAGTATAAATAAAATATCTGCTGTCTAATCCATCTGTACATTTAATATAAGAGATTAATTTTAATGGAAAACAACTGACACCAAAAGAATTGTAATAATTACGATCTGCTATTTAATTTTAAACCCTTACTTTTCTTCATTGTTATATTTAAGTAAGCTACACCAGAGCAGTTCACTTTAAAGTCCACATCACGTTCACTCTACAAAATAAATAAAGTGCATTATTAAATAATTTTAATACCATAACACTATAATAAAAATTATCTTACAATGCACACATTTTTTATGACAGGCATCTAGTACAATTCTCAATATACCCTTAATTTGAGTTAATTTCACTCAATTTTTATCTGTGATGCTACAATGTTATCTTTACAAAATATCACCGAGTCATTCTACCTTCTTTTGCAGCTCAAGCCTTTCCTCAAGACCGCCAAATCAGTTTGAGAAATTTTGCTTTTAAAAGATAGTCAAACGTGTTTCCTGTTTTTTTTCCATTTCATGTTTATTTCTAAATAATGGATTGGAGTGGTCATAAATCAATGAAAATTAAAATCCCTTTATGCAAAAATGATTTGTGTAACTTATGGCTGAGCAAAATAAATACATGTATATGATAAATGATTGAAAAACCCAAATACATGTACATGTTCTCTGTAAGGAAAAAATTAACATTTAAAAAATTGTAGAACTGAAGTAAGAATGTATTTCCAGTTCCCACATGCAACACACCAAAGGTTTGTCTATGTACGGTTCATCTATATGAAGATATACAAACTGAAAACTAGCCACTAAATAATTTATGAGTAAATTATAAGATTCAAAGTACAGTAAATGCTAATCATTACATGCATCATCAGTTTAGTCTTGGTTGTAATTGAACCTGCTCCAAAATCTTTAACCAACTCTCCCCCATCCAACATCATCAATGTCAGCCAAAGAGGTCAAGTATTATGACAGAAAAAAAGACAACAAACTGGCTTTAAATTAGCTCACTTGAACTTGTTGCATACTCATGTTAGCCTTCCGAGGACGGTATAGTAATTTATAAACATTAACTTTAGTTCAGCCTTACCGAAGAAGGGATGTTCATGAAGTTGATCTGGGTGTACGACTTGTCCTCAGATTTGGAAAGGTTAAAGGTGAATTGGTAGTCCGTTACCAAGTTATCTGGAAATTCATTTCGCATACTGTATTCATGGAAATATTATTGATTACGTATTATGGACATTTCAAATCATGCATTAATGAAAACATATCTGATTACCTACATGTATAATGGGTATTATTGGAAATATTATTATTACAGAAGAGTAAACCATATAATACCACAACACACATGTAATTTAGAAATCTTACACAAGTGCAATGTCATCTTAAACTACTCACAATAACATGTTCCTGTTTTAGGATTTCCAAAATATTTATGGGGTTCATCACACCTGAAAATACATTCAAAATGATACAAAACTATACATTTTTATCTTTCTTTAACGTTTTTGTTTTTAGCCATCAATCAAACTATGTATTATCTCAGCATAAAATTTAGAACATGAACTAAATTTCTGAATTTTCTTCCCTTCCCCTACTAACTTTTCACATTGGTCTCCGATGACTCCCCTGGTTCTACAGTAGCACGCCCCAGTCTTCCTGTCACACGAGTCTGCCTGTCCATTACATTGACAAGCTAAATATTAAAAAAAAAAATTGGTGATTTAAACTTAAAAGTGTTGGTATGGTTCATGGTTCATGATGCTTAAAGTTTTTACATTGTATTTATACATTCAATAATCTTCTCTTTTAGCTATTACATGTACCATATTCAATATAATAAAATCTTTGGTGGTTTAAATGATGTTTTCTACATTTGTTATCCCCTCACAATGAAGTTGGAGGGGATACAGTAATGCCCTTGTGTGTGTGAGTGAGTGTGTGTGTAACAGAAGTTATAATGTACATTATTGATGTATCTTTTATGAGGAGATGCTCCACTTTCCACTTGTCCTTGTTTAGATTGTACTTTGTTCACTAATGATCCTTTCTGAAGGAAAGTCCAAACACACTTGTCAGAATAATGTCTAATCGTGAAAACCACATCACTCACCAGAACAACTTCCACCATTACTGGCATCACCATAGTAACCATCAACACATCTCTCACATGACTTGCCTGAAATGAATAAACAATAAATTGTAATTTTGTTAAATTTCCAGGAAATTTATAGAACTTTACTTTAGAAGATTAAGAAGATGAAAAATTACTATAATTTACAACATAAGGTGTCAAAATTATTGTTTGAAGTAATAGTTGGACCAGAAACTGACAGTATTTTCTGTTCAGTAATTGCTAGAGCAGACACTATCAGTATTATAATGTTTGGTAATTACTGAAGGAGACACTGACAGTATCATTGTACTCAGTTATTATTTGTGCAGACACTGTCAGTATTATTGTACTTGGTAATTATTGGACTAGACACTGTCAGTATTATTTTACTTGGTAATTATTGGACCAGACACTGTCAGTATTATTGTACTTGGTAATTATTGGACCAGACACTGTCAGTATTATTGTACTTGGTAATTATTGGACTAGACACTGTCAGTATTATTTTACTTGGTAATTATTGGACCAGACACTGTCAGTATTATTTTACTTGGTAATTATTGGACCAGACACTGTCAGTATTATTGTACTCTGTAATTATTGGCCCAGACACTGTCAATATCATTGTACTTGGTAATTATTGGACCAGACACTGTCAATATCATTGTACTCTGTAATTATTGGACCAGACACTGTCAGTATTATTGTACTCAGTAATTATTGGCCCAGATACTGTCAATATCATTGTACTCTGTAATTATTGGACCAGACACTGTCAGTATTATTTTATTCAGTAATTAATGGCACAGACACTGTCAGTATTAATGTACTCAGTAATTATTGGATCAGACACTGTCAGTATTATTGTGTTTGGTAATTATTGGATCAGACACTGTCAGTATTATTGTGTTTGGTAATTATTGGATCAGACACTGTCAGTATTATTGTGTTTGGTAATTATTGGATCAGACACTGTCAGTATCATTGTATTCTGTAATTATTGGTGCAGACCCAGTCTATTCCTTACCCTCCGTCATGTTCTGACAACTGTCACACACTCCCGTCACATTCAGACACGTGCTGTGTCCATTACACTGACAATCTACAATAAAACAGGATTTTAAAAATGATTTTCCTGACAATTAATTTTATGATTAATCATTACACAATACATGCACGTAATCTTTGAAAATTCAATGCAAATTATTTCCTTATTTACATATTAAAGTACAGTACATTTAGATTTCTAAATATAAGTGAAGAATTTATTATCACATAATTTCACAAGAAGCACCACTTGCCAAATGAAATTACTCGCTTTTATTCTTATATTGCTAAAATACATGTAAAATACCTTGCTCAAAATAGTATTTGTGAATTCATATTTTCCTGTTTTGACATCTTCGAGTCATTTCAAGGTATTAAGTACTCGTGTAAAATTAGGAATCTACAGTTACGGAATTAACAATGAATGAAAGATTCTAATTATTCCTGTCATCTTCTAACCTGGACAGTTGATAAAAAACCACTGATTGGCTGGACATTTGCTAAGGTCAGTGAGCTGGTGATCAGTTTGATTGACAGGTCCTGAGGCTCCACCCTCCATACATCGACCAATCCCTGTGTTGCTGGGATCATTACACCACCCACACATAGGGTTAGATTGACAATCCTTACAAGAGTGAAGATCAGAGCATCGAGTTGCTACAAAGAGAAATTTAAGTTCTTACATGACATATTATTTTGAAGTGGCATTAATAAAACATGTATTCAACATTTCCAAAAATTTCATTGCTCAGAAAACCTGATTCTTCAAACTAAATACAAAAATGAATGAATGAATTTTAATCACTATGTTTGACTTCACCAAAGTTACCTGGACATTTAGATTTGTCTGTGGTCCATTCCATACACTGGCCGTATATAAATGTGGCCACATAGGCGTTGGTTTCCACACATTTCTGTTGGTTACTGCACCACATACATTTTTGTGATGTACAGGTCTCACATGTCTTGTTCATGTAGCAAGGTGTAGGGCACTGAGTCTTTTCTGGGTCATCAAAGTTATCAAATGTATCTGAGTCAACAGAAAAAAAAATACAAGGTAAGCGAAGAAGTTTATGACAGTTCATAAAATAAGTGTATAACATCAAGTGAGCAAAGGGACAATAATGATTCCTGGAAACTACTCACAGTAGTCTCATCTCCCTACTTATAGAATTATCTCCCTTAAAACAGATTTATCTCCCTTTCTTACTGAAACATCCACCAATTCTTACAGTGAGTCCCGATAGCATGTGAGCGTTTCTGACATTCTTTAACAGTCTGATTCCACTTGCAGGTTTTGGACTGTACACATGCCACACAGTTGTGGAAGAGAGAACACACACTGCTGTGTTTAGAGGGACAGCGATGAATGCGAGCAGACGTGATCTAAAAATCAGTCAAGTGGACTAAAAACACCTGAATGGGATCTCGTAAAATCCCTCTGAGGAGTAACACTGTGTTCACTGACTTTATGTTGAAGACCCCCCCCCCCTTTTTTTCTTTTTACTAATTTAAAAGATAATTTCTACTTTTCCTAATGACTAATACCACAAAATAATTATTCCCAAAAATCATGCAGCAAAAGACAATATCAAAAGCAACAAGACCAAAGAAAAGAGAAAGTAAAAAAAAATATGACAAAGAAAGCAAGAAATCAGTGAGATACATAAACAAGAGAAGCATGTTTGATGGTAATGATAACACGAAGAATTGAAGAAATTTAAATTTACGTCACAAACAGATGCTTTCATAATGTTCTGAAACACTAATACCCCCGTCATTTTTAAGACTAATATTTTTTTAAATTTTATCCCCATGTAAAACTTTCAACTACTTTTTGTGGCTTTACACTGACATGGGTTATTCTATTTTCTCAGTGTTAGTCAAATGTTTAAAAATCTTTAAAGCATGTAAAGCGACTTCATATGGCTGACAAACTTAACAAGAGCATTGTGACCGCCTACATAGCGTAAATAAATCCCACCCTGATAAAACTAATAGCCTACATCGAATACAGTCCAGCAATCTTAAGCTGTTCTTATCTAACATGGCATACATTCACAACCAGTTACAGGATATTAGTAGGTATAGATGATTAGGACCTACAATAAGGAGGAAAAGGGGTCAAAAATGGGGTCACCCTTGCATGTTCAGGGTAAAAATTACCTATGTATTTCAAAATAACCAACTGTGATGACTAAATCTGTGAGCAATATTAATCATTGGGAAAAAAAATTTTGATAATGAGAAGTCTTTCCAAGTTCCATAAATATTTTCAAAGGTTTACAAAGACTAATAAAGTTTACAATGGCCAAACTAATGGCTAAACTAGTAAGCTATAAAGGACAATGAAATAAAATACAGTAGATAACAAGCCAGTCCATATGCCTCTGTATATATATTACAGGTAAAAATTTAATGCTTCAATACTAACCAGTGACATTTTTCTCATTTTTGTTGTTGTCTTTTTCCTGGGAGACAGGTTTACATCCATCAGACCTCCACTGACAGTCAGGGAAGGAGTTACACCCCTGACATCTGTGTTGTTCAGAGCAGGGTTGTTCCCCCTGACTTGAGCACTGTGAAAGATCACCGGCAAACTCAGGTTGCTAAAGAAACAATAAAAAGAAAAGAAAAAGCAAACCCAAAACTAAAAATACAGCCACATAAACAAACTCAACATGCTCAAATGTGCAACAACAAAATACATATATCTAAACAAGCAGTCTAGTGTAGATTACTAAATTTTTGCGGCACCTTATTTTCTCGAGATAGTTATTTGTTATTTATGTTTCAGTTATTTTCGGTTATTCTTATAATCTTTGATAATACAAATATGCGTGAGAATGAAATTTTCACAAGCAGAGTCTCGTGTAATTATGATAAAATAAAATTATTGCGAATAAAAAGTGATTTACAGTATATATATATTGAAGGCTGTAAGGGAATATAAAAAAAAAAAATGTTTTTGGGGAGGGGGAGGGGGGCTTTATTTGATGTGACTTAAGAATAACTTCAATCTAAATACATGACAAAGTCATATAATTTTAAAAGTTAGAGGTCCTCTTTTGATAAAAGAAAAAAAATTACATGTACGGTACATCACTATTTCAAAGGATTGAATGCAGCCAAATTTTCTCCCTTTACTGTGAAGTTTCTGTGTACGGGTATAAAGAATTTTGTAAGTAAATAATTACAACACAAAGCTAGGGTAGTGTTACTCCTCAAAGTCAGGGTTCATCATCCATAATGTTTATCTCATATATATTGTCACAGTTCATCATCCATAATGTTTATCTTATATATAATATCATGGTTCATCATCCATAAACTTTATCTCATACATGTATATAATATCACATCTCATTATTATTGTCAATATTGTCATCTTTCTTTTTCCAAATTATGTACATGTAACTTATAAAACATCAAGAGTAAGCCATTAATTTGACAATGCACATACTGGTAGATCATTTTAAGGAAACTAAAAAAGTTTGTCTAACAAATCAAATTTAAACCCTGTTTGATTAATTTTCAGTTGTGTATAAATGACCTACCATCTGATTGGTATTAGAGCACTGGTCTATCGTGGTACAGTTATTGAGACACCACACACAGTTGTAGGACGTGGACAGGCAGGTGGGGCACGTCGTGAAGGTACCACATTGCTTATCACCACCTACACAGTTACAATATATATTGTACATTATCATCTGGTTTAATATTGATCTAAAACTTTACAAAGAAAGGAAACTAATGAATGACAATTGTCCGAATGATTATTGCCAACATTTATCAATAAAAGATTTTCCATGAATTTATACTTTAAAAAAGTACAAAACATGGTCATTACACATCTAAAACAATACCCATTATACAATTTGAAGTTTATGAAACAATAAAAAATTTTACCCATCATTTCCTACAGCAAGTATTTAACAGTGTTTACAGATGTATTACAAAATAAAACTTTACCTCTAATGGTTATTTTTATTTAAAACTTGAGAGATCTTACCTCCACTTCCATTTAATGTCTTTTTTTCTAATTTGTTACAATTAATTTGCTAATGTTTTGTACAAATGAAGCTGTAGGGGGACCTACCTTCCGTGGGGTCACACTGTTTTTCCTCAGCTCCGACCACACTGGGGTCAAGGTCAGACAAGGACAGACATCGCCCCTCTGCCCACACACATGACCTTCCCTGTACTGATTTCAAACAGTCCTCTTTTGATATGTGATAAGAGCAATTCCCTGTGGAAGAGAAGTATAGTTGAACCTCTTTTAATATTCTCTCAAAAGATTGTCTTAAATACTGTAAAAAACATATGATCCTGAATGACTTTTATTAAATATAATTATTTTTTATATTATATAATGTCACAATTACCTCCTAGTCTTTATCTACTACTATTTTTGGTAGTTAATGAATGCTATGATTTACCTGGGGACAGAAGAAGAGCATTGGGCTCCATGACTCCACTGAACCCTCCCAACACCAGCATCTCTGTTCTACCATTCCTACAGTCAAAAAACAGACAATTACTGTAAATCATATACAGTCAAACCTCATAATCTCAAAATTCCATGGGACTGGAAAAAAACCTTCAAGACATCTGAGGACTTGAGATATCGGGGATAAAATACATAAAGACTTCCAAATTATTTTGACATATCCATGGTATTCGAGATATAGGTGTTCTGGATACCACAGTTCAACTGTATTTTGTAAGACTTTAATTTTTGCAAGACTTCAATGTACATGTAGCATTCACAAAATACATGTCTGTAATATTTCTATCAGAATTTATACTGACAATTTTATTTTCCTGTGAAGAGTGGGACATAAGCAAGGTAAGGATACATCAAGATGTTTAAGTTACCCCTCAGTAAAGTATCAAAGTGGAGTTGAATCAGTGGCATGCATAGCCTAAACTTAATACAGATTTATTATTATAATTACTGCATCTACAATTACAGAATAAGGAAACATCATCAAACCATCAATACTTATACATGTACTGTATATATGTACATTTATATAATGCAATTGCAGGGAAATTTCTCAATTGTCCAATGACCATTTGAGTTAAAAAAAAAAAAGGTCCTTGGACTATATACAATGCATTAAAACTTTTTTTCTTCCAAAAAATCTTGAAATAAATTAGCACATCGTTTTATCTAGCAGATAAAAGTCACTGTATTAGACAATACATGCACATGTTCATGTATTAAAAAAAAAAAAAAGACTATAACAATGTTCTGTTTTTGTACTACTGAATTTCTTTGTCTAAGCTGATTCTAACCTACATGTACAACCTTTGGTCAAGAATGACCAAGTGTCTTGAATTTAAATTTCAATAACATAGGCAGGGGTGCTTGTTTCATAAGTGATCCCCATACAATCCCTCGAATTAATTTTTGGGTTATTCTTCAGAACTCACCTCTGGACAGTGACTGCCGAGTGACCATAACGAGCACCGTGTGATGCTAGTACAGAAGAGTTTAGCAGCGACCACTTGTTACACTCTGAAGTTAAAAAAAAAATTAATGTATACATACATTTACAAATTCTATTACATATTCAAATTGTAATCTCTTTTAGAGCAATAGGTTATAATTCATCTATAAATAAACAATGAGTCAATTTAAGTAGTGCAGAAAGTGATGATAATATAATAAAAGTTGATGTTTACAAGCATTAAACATACACTGTACTGAGTCACTCTCTACCATCAGCTCATACACTCACCTCTGTCGTTGGCTCGCATATATCACAATGATAAGCACGGGAAATAGAGAGTTTATATTAATTCATGAGCTAATGTTTGTCTTTTAAGGTAGATATTTCCTAAATAGATATAGAACAGTACTATTAGTTTAATTTGAAATAATCCTTGGAATATCATGTTTTCTACTTTATGTCAAAAATTTTGACGCGAGCCCATTGCAGAGGTGTCTGAGAGAGGAACGAACAATAACTCTGCATAGGAGATTGGTACGGAGTAACACAGAATCAAGTATCAAAGGCAGTGTTGTTTTAATTTATTCCTGAATGTCAACATGACTTACTGATGTCGTACTGTAAAACATCTGGTGAGTAACACTTGGCCCCGAGACTGATGGACGTGTCGTTATGGGTGTTTCCTCCGAACACAATCATCATTCCATCAATAATCACAGCCGAGTGAAGATAACGGGGAAGCTGGTTACGACGTAATTTTATCCTATTTTAAAATACAATAGTTTCTATTAACGAGGTTCGCTCCTGAGCTTTTGAGCAGATTTTTATCTTAACCTATATTTCAAAAATTCTGCATAATGTTTTAATTCTTACAATAAATTTGGATTCTACAATGCCAATTTAACTATATTCAGTTAAAACTCCATGATTAAATTCAATACCAAAAGCATTGAATGAGGAACTATATTTTGTGGCGGAAGGTTTTTTTTAGAAGAAAATGATCATTTTTTCTCTTTCGAAGTATTAAAAGTATGTTAAGTTTGGATTCCTATTTTTACATACAGTCTGCACATATAGTTATTTTGTGCAGTGGGTTGTTTTATACTGGTCCTAAATTATCTATTAAATAAACTGTCATGAATTCTATCATCATATTTGATAAATATAGCAAATATATTGTGAAAATGAAGAAAAAAAATAGCCCTAATTTAAGCTTAAAATTAGCACTATTTTGGGAATATCTAAAAATTAACATCACAGACTCCAACTTTTAATATTCTTTTATGAATATATACGATATTTTTAACCATTCTTCTTAAATTCAGTAAAATGTCATTACTTTTAAATGATTTTTTTGCTTGTTAAATTTTTAATGCCAGAAAAATGAAAATGTTTGAGTGCAAAAAGGTCAAATAATTGAACATGCGGAGTAATTTGAAAATTTCTTCGTTGTCACAAATTTTAATGTGTCTATTTAAGATGAAATAAGACTGTTTTTGTTCCCATAATTTATTTGAACAAAAAATATTGGAGGAAAAACTTTGAAAATTGATGTATATGTAAGACGTATTTACAGTGCAAAAAGGTCAAACTAAATGCTCTGTAGTGCCAAAAGAAGTGCATTGACCCCCATTTTTTGTTTTGATTTTTAATAAAGCTATGTGTATAAATTCTAAAAATATACTTGGTAAAAAATTCTCATTACTTTTGATGGCAGGATTCAACCTCCTTAAGTTATCACACTTGGATACCATCTAAAGCACTGAAATGTACAAAATGAATTACCCATCTCCCCCCCCCCCCCCCCCAAATAAACCCCAACTCACCAGGTTCTTGTAGCTGGTTCAAATGAGTACAGCTGATCTGTAAGATCATAGTTAGAGGTACTGCGGGCATGATATCCTCCGTAGATATAGATCTTATCAAGGGCGGGGTAGTAAACACTAGAATGGCCATATCCTCCCTGGACCAGAGCTCCTCTTGTCCTTGGCACGCTCCAGCTTTCATTTGCTATAATTATTTCAATCATTTTTTAATTTTATAAACACAAAGAAACCTGCAATTACTACAGTGAAATTTATTTTCTTAAACAAGAGATATATTATAATAGTCATCATGAATTGCCAGAATTGGAAACCATTCACTAAAGCTTATTACACATATTTTACAAAGCTCCATCTAAGTTTCTAACAAGAGACTAACAATATTTTGTTCATTGATGCATGGTTCTTAATGACAATGAAATCTCTTGTTTGAAATCCTAATCACCAAATGTTCTTCTACAAGATTAAAGCCCTCCATCCCCAAACAAACTCATATACACAAAGATTCTCCTACCTATATTGAGGTACACAGACAATAAGCTAATATTTGGTCTCACTACACTCAATGTAACAGTCAACAGATTTTCATCCACATTTAGTCTAACAAGCCAAAGTTAATTAAGATCTAAAGACATTATACTCCTGACTCTTGCACTTTGTCTGCAATTAGGATTTAAAAGCAAACAGATACCAACCCAAAACACTGACTTAACCTACAAGGTAAACGTTTCCTCCCCTAACACAGTGATTTTATGTATCTAAGCAAGACCAACAGGGTAACAGGTGCCCTACACACTGATGTCCACACCCTCAGTTAGATTTTACAAGCTAATACTAGTATACATATGACCAACATATAGGCATCTCTACCAGCAGTTAACAGTCAAAGAACTACAAGCTCACTGGTGCACTACCTACACACAGGTGCCCTTATCTATATAAGTTGTAAAAGTTTAATGATACCCTTCTCTCACACACGTCCTCCTCACTTACAGGTGCCCTACTTTACATTCAAGTTCTACAAGCTAACAGGTGCCCTCCCCATACAGGGATACATATGCATGATCAGTTTGTGAGAGGACTAGCTAAGAACTTGCCTCTAATTCCACATTGACAGTGAAATATGTTCTAAACAGAGAATGATAGATTTCTGCCCCCCCCCCCCCCACACACCTTCCAAGTCAGAGGTATCCATCCATATCTACCTGCATACAGGTATTCTTACCTATATTGTATTCCTGGATTCTATTCTGGTAGCCATAGATTGGACTGTAACCAAAGAGAACATACATGACTCCCTTAACAATATGAGCTGTATGTCCTGCTACTCCCATTGGTATAGGTACTGTACTGTTGTAACGCTGTACCGACCAACTCAGTGATGTGGTATTGAATATCCACAGATCTCTTGATGTCACATTCCCTTCCACTCCTCCAAATACGTACAGCTTGTTCTGTAAATGTTTAATCTGACCATTATATCAAAGGCTTTGTTTATAATCTTTTACAACCAAATAACTGATTATTTCTACAAACTTATCATATTTCTACAAACTTAGCAATAGCCTGCAAAACTACAGCTCTATAGAATCCAAACCATTTCATAACAAACTTATATTTACACTTATCTAAATCCTGCAAATTCAAAACAGGATGAAATACAAATGTCTACATTAATTTCTGAAAGAAGAACTTAGAGAGACAAATTTACAGAGATCCATTATAAAGTGTAAAGTGTAATAGAGATTGAATGACCAAAGAATGTAATAGTGTAATGTAATGCAATGTAATAGAGATTGAATGACCAAAGTCACCAAACTGTGTATATAACTTACCTGATAGGCCACCATGGAGTGTCCGTACCGAGGAGGGGGACTCTCTAATGAAACCGGATTGACCACCTCTAAATCATTGGATGATGTTTTATACCTGCAACAGGATGAACAAATTAATCTTAAGTACAATTTAATGGGATGATGCACTGAAGTGACAAATTAATCAAGATCAAGAGGCAATTTCATGGACTTGATTTCATTGCTACATTTGAAGCCAAAATGTTTTACAATAAAATCTGATTTTGATCTACTTACTTAACAAGGAATTCTTGAGACTTGTTGAAGAAGTATCCGCCAACTAAATATATATCCTCCCCGATGACTGCCACCCCAGAAGACACACGGGCTAGGAGATCATTTTCTAAGTACTTAAGTCGCCAAGAGGCCTTATCAGCTGTCAAACTGCAGTCATCACCTGGAAATTCAGTTGTACTTATATTTAAGAAGGTGCTTCATATGTTTTACATACCATGTGCATGATAATAAATACATGAAAGTGCTATAAGAAAAATGAAGATAAAATCATTTACTTTACATATTTCTCCTTGTAAAAAAATTTCATAAACACTCATATGAATCCGGTTCAGCTCTTCTGTGTTTTATGACTATCTATTTTTACCCCCCCCCCTCCCAAAATAAAAGATAAAGAGCCATTAACCACTAAAGAGCTGAACTGCATTCATATCATAAACTGTTGTTTCTATCCAAAAATGCAACACATCCATTACCCTGCCATAAGACAAGACAGAATACAGTAAATAATCCCAAAACCTGTGAATCCTGCGTGACATTGACATTGATTGTTGAGACAGTCCCCATTGAGGGAGCAGTTATTGGGACATATGATTTCTCCACAGTTCTCCCCTAGGTACCCCGAGTAACAGATACAGACGTCCCCTGAGCAGTTCCCTCGTCCTGAGCAGTTCTTAGGACAACCACCAGTCCTAGGAATATAAAAAATAACAACAATCATTTAATTATTCATCACAAGACCTGAAAATTTCAATATTTTGTTAATAAAAATCAGTTTTTGATAGATTTTATAATAAAAATAAACTTTGATTGATATACATACAGATCAAACGGGTTAAAATTTGAAATATCAAGCTAAAAAATTATTCTTACATTCAAAATACAATAAGTCATAAACTAAGTACTCTAGTTTAAATGCTGGGAAAGTGACTATATATGTTTAATGAGCTTTTGTGTCCATATTTTTTTTGGTGGTGGAGGGAGGGGGGGGGGGGGGTGCTTCCTACAAAAGACTGTTAAATTAAGAGAAAAAAAATATTGATGCAAATTTGTTGATCTATATAATGTATTTACCTGTACGTAATATTAAACCCTGACATGTTGTACGCTGCATCACTGTAGAAGTACAGATAAGCCTTGCCTGAGCTGGTTCGGATCTCTTGTAGTTCAGTAGTGGACGTGTAATCTTTATGTATTAAACCACTATAATGATAATTCAGTAAGAAATATATATGACAGTAGAAAATTATCACTTATAAAGCATTCTACCAAAGCCTTGTCTTTACTTTGAAATAAGAAAACAAAATAAAAAAAACTTTTTTGTGTCTGGTCACCTGAAAGCTGCCAGTAAGGGAGAGAAGGCAGAGTCCCCGTCGTAGATATAGAGGTGGTCCCAGCCACACTCCGTGGAGAACTGATGGAATTGGAACCACAAAGAGGTGTTCTCATGCCCCGTGTCTACCAACCACGTACATTTATTGTCCTCAGAGTAGTTACCGTGACCATCAGAGATTATTCCATCTGTATTTTGTAATCTATAAGAAGAAGAAGATTTAACATGCATATAGAAAAGATTTTATTGTTAAAGGAAACTCAAGTAAGAGCATAAAAACTTGATACATGTATCATGATTAAAACAAGAGGCCCATGGGCCACATCGCTCACCTGAGTAACTTTAGTCATGCTGTTCTTTACCAGATTCCCCCCCCCTCCCTTGTAATACCTATTGTGGCCCCGCCCTACCCCCAGGGGTCCTGTTTGAACAATTTAGAATCTACACTACCCAAGGATGCTTCCACATAAGTTTCAGCTTTTCTGGCCCAGTGGTTCTTGAGAAGAAGATTTTTAAAGATTTTTCCTATATATTTCAATGTAAAACTTGGATTCCCTATTGTGGCCCCACCCTACCCCCAGGGGTAATGATTTTAACAACTTAGAATCTACACTACCCAAGGATGCTTCCACATAAGTTTCAGCTTTTCTGGCCCAGTGGTTCTTGAGAAGAAGATTTTTAAAGATTTTTCCTATATATTTTTATGTAAAACTTGGATTCCCTATTGTGGCCCCGTCCTACCCCCAGGGGTCATGATTTTAACAATTTAGAATCTACACTACCCAAGGATGCTTCCACATATTAAGTTTCAGCTTTTCTGGCCCAGTGGTTCTTGAGAAGAAGATTTTTTAATGACCCCACCCTATTTTTGTCTTTTCTTGATTATCTCCCCTTGTAAGGGGACTTGGCCCTTTATTTTAACAATTTAAACTCCCCTTCACCCAGGGATACTTTGTACCAAGTTTGGTTAAAATTGGCCCATTGGTTCTTGAGAAGAAGTTGAAAATGTGAAAAGTTTACAGACGGACGGACGGACTACGGACAACGGGTGATCAGAAAAGCTCACTTGAGCTTTCAGCTCAGGTGAGCTAAAAAAGCTTTTGATTTAACATCAACTGTAGGTAATAGATTAATTAGCATAACTATACATAGGAGCTCTTAATGATTTAAAAATTAACTTCTTATGGCACCATTCATGACTTCCACTTGATGGATAGCACATAATTTTAAGATATGAATTTAATTTTTTGAGAATTCATGAGGACATGACCTACTACGCTTCAAGCCGGCATATTTCATGAAGCACGTTAGCACTTCATGATAAATATGCAGGCATGAAGCATTGTAGTTCATGTACCTCATGAATTCTCAAAAATTAAATTCATATCTTATATTCACATTATTTTTCCGATGACTTGACACATATTTTTTTGTCATTCAATGATCATCTTTGAAAAAAAAGTTTGCACTATTTTTTGTCTTCAATTACATCACAATGGAAAGATTCTTACTCACCCCAAGGTAGTTTATGAGAATGTAAACATTTTCTAATTTGCAAACAATCTTAAGGAAAAAATATTTGGAATTGTAAATATATAATCATAAAAGATAACAGTACACATAAATTTTGGATCAATCTTCTTAGGTATACTTAAGATGAAAAATCACAACTCCATAATAAAACCTAAAAATCAATACTTTTGCTGCTTGACACAGGTCTACTCTGAATTATTCAGCCTAATCCAATAAAACAGGCCACGTTAACTTAATCAGTTAACACTGAAGCAAATTATATTCATCCTTATATAACAATATAATGACAGCATTGGAAAACAGTTATCTGAAGAGTTTGATTAGAGAATTTACAACATTATAAATGTCATGTTATTTACACAACCTGACGTTAAGTTTTATTGTTTATTGTTCATGTTTATTGGAGGAATAAAAAAAATCTCCCTCAATTTAAGATGGTTCCATTTAGTGTGATAGTTTAATTGAAAAATTATAGCCAAAAAAGAAAGCTGCTAAAGTTTTTCCTCAATTGTAAGAAGAATTTAAGTGTGTGATACTACATTTCCTCGGTCTTTCTTTATTGTTTATTACCCTGTTGGTTTCAGTATATATATGAGATCTATAAGATAGCAGGTAGTATATTTCCCTGTTACCCTTGTTCTAGACAATGATAAGATCAATCAGTAAGATCACAAATGTTTCCATTAATGTTACACCAGGGATGGCATCCATTACTCTCAAAAGTAATCGATTAAATTACAGTTACTAACTTTGAAGCTGATTAGTTATTTTTTAAAGTAATCAATTACATCTGATTACTTTTACATCATGTAATCATGATTACTTGTGATTTCTTTTAATTAAATTAATTTTTTAAAAAGTTTTTTTGTTTTGTTTAACATTTGGGAAAAAGCATTTTTTTTTTAATCATCATTTACATTTTAAAGGTTGAGTTCAGACAAAGTCTGGTTACATGTACTTACATAGATGCTTGAAATGATTTATCTGATCATCTGATTTCTATCTTATATACCAGTAAATATCTGTGTTATTGTTGAGGGGTAAAAAACAAAAATATAACTAATTTACCAATCAAATTGGACAGATAAAGGGATTCAAAAGGGAACTGTTATATATGTAATTGACTATTTAAGGAATAACTGTCTGATTTTTTGGTTTCAAGATGTGATCAATCGATTGGCTTGCGTGATAATTTGCATAAACGCCAAAGGCGTTTATGCATAAAATTATCACACAAGCCGATCGATTGATCATCGTCATGAAACAAAAAAATCTGACAGTTATTCCTTATTTTTACATGCTCTTGAATTCACGTGCTACAAGCCCCACTTCTGTCTCTATTTGTCCCGCCCCACACGTGATTTTTTTTTTTCACCACACCTATGGATGAAGCAGTAGATATATGTAGAAATAAAGTATTTTTACTATTTGAAATTTTATCTCGGGCAAAGACATTGGAAATGTAAATATACTGATATGAATGACAGTTACACACATATAAAAGTGTTGACAGATATATACTTTTACTGATGTTATAGAAAAGTGTTGGCAGACATTTCAATTATCTTGATATTTTGTTTTGAACTTAGACAAAGTGGCCCAAAAATCTATAGATGCCTCTAGTTACACTTTCTTTACCTGTGTAGAGAAGTCATTTGGTTAAAAAGGACATTAGCTATCTAATCAACATCTACAGACATCTTTTTCTAACATCCTCCGTGTGCAGTTATTGCATGATGATAGAAGTCAGACTGACGGATAGATACAAGATTAAGAGATTACAGTAAGGAAACTAGATTTTGATGCAGGTGCATCGATTTACCCAAATGGACCCAGATGGGACCAAATGGTACCCAAATGGAATATCAAATATATATTGTCATATTCTCAAGTTGTTACTTATTTAAAATGATGAAAAATAATAAACTTGTAAATGGAGAATATTAATTATTCATTTCTAATTTTGTATTTTAAAATACGAATTATTTTTTTTTTCTATTTGTAACAACTTTTGCATATCATTGAATACAAAATTGAAGAATTTCATATTAAAGTTTATATACTGTATACAGTGAAATTTTCAGCCCCCGTTTTATTTTCGCCCCTTTCGCCCTAGACACAAGTGGGCAAATTTAAGACGGGGCAAATTCAAAGAAAAAAAGTATAATTTCTTAAACAAAAATGTGACTGGGCAAATTAAAACGGGGTAAGGTAAAATTGTCTGCAAGTGTGAAAGGGCGAAATATAACTAGGGACGAAATTAACCCTGTATACAGTAGTTTTCATGGCTGTAGGAAAGGGGGGGGGGCGCCCCATCCCCCCAATAATTTTGCCGAGGTATAGAATACGATAGGAAATGAATTCGTATTTTAAAATACAATATTAGAAATGAATAATTAATACATGTACTCTCCATTTGCAAGTTCATTATTTTCATCATTTTAAATAAGTAACAACTTGATAATACGATAATATATATTTAATATTCCATTTGGGTCCATTTGATTTCCATTTGGGTCCATTTAGGTTTCCATTTGGGTTCTATTTGTGTCCATTTGGGTAAATCGATGTGCTGTTTTGATGCAGGTTCTGAAGAAATTTAAACTATTCATGAAAAAGACAGCTCTAGGCTGTAAATTTCAGAAAGTCATGTACAGCATTGCTAGTCTGATACAAATTCCCTGCTCAAAATAATTAACTAATACAATCCCTGATTGCTGAAAACGATCATTAGTTTAAAAAAAAAAAAAAAAAAAAAAAAATGACTGGTTTGACATAAGCAGGCTTTCTTAATATTTCAATATCTTTGAACAGTCAGGGGTGAGACTGAAATCCGTCACTTTTAAAATGATGATTTTTAGTCATAAAATAAAATTTTTATTAAGACTAAAACTTGTCATTTTTAAGAAAATGACGAAAAACAGTCATAAAAATTTAGAGTGTTTCTAGAATACCGAGTTACCTCTCTTTGAAAAATGTTAGATCCACCAACCGAAAAAAAGGACAAAAAACATCGTAAACAAACTTCATTTCTCTAATACAGTTGACTACAATACTAGTTATGTTGACAGTACAAATTTCCCAAGCAAAAATAAGAGTGGAAGCGTTATTTGTCAATTTATTTGCATTAAATAGGAAAGAAGACGAAAATGACGATATTCCGTCTTTTTTCAAAATGGAGGGTCTGGGCGCACTGAAATATCTCGATTGTTTTACGGGGCGCTTTACTTTTTTTATGGCTTTAACTTTTTGTCGAAACTTTTCTCTACAAGTACGTATTCTTTCAGATGGTGCGCTATATGTTTTTATAGGGCTAAAAGCCATGTAAAAATGGCGAATTAGTTCTACCAAAATTCGACATTTTACCGCTAAATAATAACTTTCACCTTCCACGTTGATGTTCTAAGGCACGTGGTTGGCAGTAATAAGTGACCCAGATGAAATGAAACTTGCATAAACACTCTTCTTTCAGCGGTGAATTCAAATTTCGCTTTTATGTAACCAGGATAGAAGAATTAAGTTGAAAAAGAAAATATGACAATAGTAAGTCATATTGACAAAAATGACGAAAATACGTAGTTAGTAAATATGACGATTATCCATCTTTTTTCAGAAATGACAGATTTAAGTCTCACCCCTGACTGTTGAATTCCCTCTTTGACTTTTATATTGAAAATGTTTCACTCTTTTTTTCCACTTGGCGAGCAATGTCTTGATGCAGTTTTCACAGAAAAAAGATAATAAAGGCAAGGGTCCTTTATGTGGTCTTGCAGATAAATTATTTCAGAAGAAAATGAAAAGAGACACTTTCCCAATTACGGGGGGTATCATATGCCATGAAATTTAGGAGTTAAGATACCTTGTGTTATTAAAGTTTGTGGCAAAAACAAGTACCTGTGCCACAGAACCAACGTTTAATGACATTTTCTATGAAAACATGTCCAGTCTTATTTGAGATCGCTTAAAATGTGGTGAAGATACTTCAGTGGGACAACAAAACATTTAGTGCTTACTTGGCAGTTATATTGGTAGTAACACATCGGATCCAGAAGTTGAACTAATATTTTTGCCCCTTACATGTGAGAAAAAACAATCAGGTGGACTGAGAGAATTAAACAAACCCACTGCAGGTCGAAGTCATTCGACCCATAAGTACCGTTCATTATTTACCTGATTCTGCCAGTACAATGTTTACATTCAGGTGGAGACCAGCCTACGTCACACACGCACGATCCATTCACACATCTACCCTCAACACAGTTAGACAATGAACATGTATCCACTTCTGTGTATATTGTCTGGACAGTTAAAACTAACACAATTAAACACAAATACAAATAGCTCTGTGTTAGTTTTCCTTTCTTCTTGTCCGCCATCTTGTCATACTAAACAGGAAGTGTTTGAACCGGAAGCTAAAGATGCCAAATGAAAGTAGCGGGAAATTTTAAAATCAATGAACAATCATACTTTATGGAAGTGTTTAATAAAATACAAGGTTTAGATGCAGGTTATTTCATATGATATTATCTGAACAGAATTAACAAACTTTTTAAAGTGAAATGGTGGGGGAGTGGGGCAAAATGTAGTGGACAGAGGGCGAACTTGATTTACTCACACCTTTTACACCTAATCTCGGTGGAGATTCGGCTGGGCTAGCCGAATCTCCACCGAGATTACTTTTACACCGTGTACACCTTTCTTAATCAAGTGCAGGGGTGTAGCCTTTTGGTGTACACTTGGTGTACACTTTCTTACACCAAATTTAGGGCATGTGTTGAAAGGTGTACACTGAATCCAATATGGCGGAGAATGGTACGATTGAAAATTTAAGAAATGATTTTATGTAATATATAAAGGATAAGAAATCACATTCAAGTTGTCTTTTGTGTGTAAGTGATGACATTGAAATTATTTTTTAACTAATAAATTAGTCAATTCTTAATGTATTTTTATTTTTTTTCACTTTAAACCAAAAAATGTTAGCCCCACACAGGCAAGATGCAAAACATACACTACACCACATACACTACACCTCGTAAAATGCACTTGATTATGCACCACCACCTTTCACACCGGTGTACACTGGTGTACACCTAGTTAAGCTAAATCAAGCACGCCCAGTGTATACCCCTGTTCATGTTTCTAAAATAAGATTTGTGAAATTGATCACTGTTCATTATCGTCAGCTTTTCGTCTGTCACATTCCTTGAAATTTATATCATATTCATTTTATTCTGCACTTAAGTACTATCATGTTGTAAATTTTGAATTTACTAGGGGGGGGGGGGTAAATGCAAAATTTTATCATGTTGTAAATTTTGCATTTACCTCCCCCTAGTAAATTCAAAATTTACAACATGATAGCACTCTGAAGTTAATACCGAAAAGTGCCGGAGTTCATTGACAATATATATGTACCGGTAGTCTCTGGAGACAATGACTTCCAACAATCGTTTGGAGTTCCATTGGGAACTAATTGTGCTCCTTCAATAGCCGATTTTTTGTTTGTGTGTGTGTGTGTGTGTGTGTGTGTGTGTGTGTGTGTGTGTGAGGGTGTGTGTGTGTGTGTATTTTATGAAGTAGATTCCCCTAAAAATCTATTTACGAGAAGTGAAAATCTTAGATATAACGACGATGTTTTATCAACTAAAGATTTTCATTTTCATTCATACAAAATTAATGACTGTTCGATATATTTTGATATCTTACTCAATATAAACGTTATTTTCAAAGTAAAAACTAAAGTACTTGTACCTGACAAATATGATGATTTCAACTTTTCCATAATCAACTTCCAATATTTATGAAGTAATATTCCATTATCATCTGCATATGGTGACTGTGTTTCCTAACTAATTCAATACAAAAAAAAAAAAAAAAAAAAAAAAAGTTGTTTGTACGAAACCGAGTCAAACTACTGAAAAATATGTTGATGTTACACAGCTTTCAAAAGTCCCGTTCAATGTCGACATTTCGCAAATTCCATAATGACTGTCGTTATATTGACTTTGTTTGCATATATTAAATCTATCGTTGGATCGAATTTTGGCTGAACTGTTTTATACGAATTGTTAGGCCATCTTAAATTAATTATTTTGACTACAATTTAACCTATATACCCGACCAATGCAGATCTCCAGAGACAGGTGTGACCGCGCGGTAGACAGGGAATACTTACTTTACTTGCGCACCTAATCCTGCATATGATTTTTTCAGGGGTTCAAATTATTGCCCTATTCTCAATTCATACAGTTTATAGACTTTATAAGATCGATCACTGTTCGTGATCTTCACACCTTTTTCATTCAGGAATTATCACACGTTTTAAAATATTTAAAAAATACACAGGGACCAAATTCTTTATTATTCATCATTGCAAAAATATTCTAACATTCTTGATTAATTACAAAATACACTGTATGCATTTTTCATTTTCTCCATAATGTGACTATCGGTCAAAAAAAAACTCTATACATATATCATATAAAATAAATTTTTGTTCAATTATTTTATTTTAAAGATATCATATAGACTTCTTTTAGTCACTTAATCCCACCTCTGGTTTTCCAGGGGTCCGTATTTTTGCCCAGTTCTTGTAAATTTGTATTGTTTACAGAATTTATGAGATTGATCACTGCTCTTCATCTTCACCAAAGTTCAAGTGAGCTTTTCTCATCACGATTTGTACATGGGTCTGTCTGTCTGTCCGTCTGTAAATCTCTCACATTCTTGACTTCTTTTCCAAAACCACTGTGTTAATTTTAACCAAACTTGCCACAAAGCATCCTTGGATAAAGATTATTCAGGTTTGTTCAAATGAAAGGCTACACCCACTTTCAAGGGGAGACGATGAAGAATTAGTGAAAATTTGGTGGCAGCTCTAAAAAATCTTCTCAAGAACCACTGGACCAGAAAAGTTGAAACTCATGTAAAATCTTCATTACATAGTGAAGATTCAAGTTTGTTCAAATCATGACCACTGCAGGTAAGGCGGGGGCAACGATGAGCAATCAAAGTTTTACATGAAATATGAAGATAACAAACAGCAATCGAGTTCAATAAATCAAATTTTACATAGAAATAGGGAAAATCTTTTTAAAAATCTTCTTTTCAAGAACAACAAAGGCATAAAAGTCATATTGATATGGAAGATATCTCATGTATAGTATAGAATCAAGTTCAAGTATAAAATCATAACCCCCAGGGGTAGGGTGGGCCACAACAGACAATCAAGGTTTTACATGGGAATACCGATTCTTGAAAACAAAAGATCTTTAAAAACCTTCTCAGAACAACTGGGCCAGAAGAATTAAAACTTATGTGAAAGCTTCTATTAATCATTATATAGTGTTGTTTCGAGTTTGTTCAAATCATAACCCCGAGGATAGGGTGGGGTCAAAATGAGCAATCAAAGTTTAACATAGGAATATATAGGGAAAATTTACTCATCTGTTGAAGAACAGTAGGAAGACACTTACTCAGGTGAGCGTTGTGGTCATTGAGTTTCTTGCTGTCAAAGAAATTAAGCAATGAATGATGATAGTAAGCCTACTCAGGGTCGGGGGTTATGAAAAGAAATGACCACTTTTTATGCCCCCGTATCGAAGATTCGGAGGTATATAGTTTTTGCTCTGTCATTCCATCTGTCTGTCTGTCTGTTTGTCTGTTTGTCCGCAAAAACTTTAACATTGCCCATAACTTTTGATTGGATGGAGCTATGTCTTTCATATTTCACATGTGTATTCCTTGTGACAAGACCTTTCTTTGGGTACCACCATATTTGACCTTTTGGCCTTGGAGTTTGACCCAGTTTTGCAAAAATTTATCCAACTTTAACCTTGGCCATGAGTTTCGAACAATTGGTACTAAGGCTTTCATACTTCACATGTATAATCCTTGTGACAAGTCCTTCCTTTGGATAAAAACAACTTTGACCCTTTGACCTTGGAGTTTGACCTACTTTTGAAAAACTTTAACCTTGGCCATAACTTTTGAACCGTTTATCCAACTTTAACCTTGGCCATGAGTTTCGAACAATTGGTACTAAGGCTTTCATACTTCACATGTATAATCCTTGTGACAAGTCCTTCCTTTGGATAAAAACAACTTTGACCCTTTGACCTTGGAGTTTGACCTACTTTGAAAAACTTTAACCTTGCCCATAACTTTTGAACTGTTGGTGCTAGGCCTTTCATACTTCACATATGTGATTCTTGTGAAAAGACCTTCCTTTGGATAATAACAACTTTGACCCTTTGACCTTGACCTTTGAGTTTGACCTACTTTTGAAAAACTTTAACCTTAGCCATAACTTTTGAACCATTGGTGCTAGGCCTTTCATACTTCACATATGTGATTCTTGTGAAAAGACCTTCATTTGGATAATAACAACTTTGACCCTTTGACCTTGACCTTTGAGTTTGACCTACTTTTGAAAAACTTTAACCTTAGCCATAACTTTTGAACCATTGGTGCTAGGGCTTTCATACTTCTCATATGTGATTCTTGTGAAAAGACATTCATTTGGATAATAACAACTTTGACCCTTTGACCTTGACCTTTGAGTTTGACCTACTTTTGAAAAACTTTAACCTTAGCCATAACTTTTGAACCATTGGTGCTAGGCCTTTCATACTTCTCATATGTAATCCTTGTGACAAGACCTTCCTTTGGATACCAACAATTGTAATCCATTGATCTTGACCTTGGAGTTTGACCTACTTTTGAAAAACTTAAACCTTGGTCATAACCTTGAACGATTGGTGCTTCAGTTTTCATATTTCACTAGTATATTTCTTGTGAGAAGGCCTTTCCTAAGGCACCATTAATTTTGACCATTTGACCTTGACCTTGATGTTTGGCTTACTTTTGAAAAACTTTAACCTTTTCTATGTCGTTGCTGCTAGTGGTTTCATATTTCACTAGTATATTCCTCGAGACAAGACCTTACTTTGGGTACCAACATATTTGATTTGCATTTGAGAAAGTTTAACCTTTGCTGTAAGTTGCCATACGGGGGCATCAGTGTTTCACAAACACATCTTGTTCTCTATATTTCACTAAAGGGATAAAGGAAATTTACCCGAAAGTAATAAGTTGGTGTATGATGAGCTTTTACGAGATTTTAATAGTAGATCTACTACTCCTGATAAAATAAAATTTTACAGAAAACAGCTCTAAAAGAACAAATAAAAGTTTTGAATCAGCATTACAGAAAATGAATTTGGAACATCCTTCAGTGCTAACAGATGTTAAAAATACATTAGGAAAAAAGACCCACTTCATTGATACTAGGGTCTTTGATATCATCCGAGTGGGAAACAAATGTAGACTGTTATAACTGCGGGGAAAAACAGAATAGGTGATAAAAGACTGAAAAACAAAGAGAAAATTGTAAAATCTCCAGTCAATCAATCGCAAAATAAATCATACAGGCATAAGTAAAAAAAAAAAAAAAACAGTAAAATGATGTTAACACATTTCTTATGAAGTTTATTTGAGAATCTCAGTTATGCTTTTTATAACCCCTGGAGTATAAAACTCTCGCTTACTTCCGAGAGTTTAAACAGAAACTTATGCATCCACGATCTTTGTACAATATAATGACAGTAAAAAACCCCATTATATCAAAAATGGAAAACCCACAGGCACATAACTTTGCAATAGATTATTCAGGATATTCAAAGGGTTTCTGAAATTGTAAATACCAGGCGTTCAGATTTTACGCCTCTTAAGGAGTGCGATAAATTTTTAAACAGAGGCAGGAAAAGTTGAAACTATAAGGCTTTCTAATATCAACAAGGGATGCTTAGTCCTAGGCACCTGATTCTTCCTCTGGTTTTGTCACAGGTCCTTTCTTTTTGTCATGTTTGCGTTTCGTATTTTTATTTGATTCATGAATTTAATCACAGTTGGTTATCTTCATCTTAAAGAGTTTATTCTTACTAATGTAACAGAGTTTGTAAGCTATGAATGCATGTTGAAGTATGAACGTCACCAAGTGTGACGGAAGATAATAATTCTGATTCAACCCGTAGGTTCCATAAACTGAAATTTGTCAATTAAGGAATATATAGATGCTGAGAACGTTAGTAACATTTCTAATCATCAAAAAGTTCAGTCTGGCATTCCGCCATATTTCAAGTTGAAGTCCCTGCATTTCATACCGATATTCCCAAACTGTTCCTTCCAATTTTTTTAATAACAGACCAACCTCACAGTGCCTAGATATTGCATATTTAAAACAATTCTTGCTCTTCTTCTTCTTTGAACTACAGTCTTGCTGGACACGTCATCACCGGTGATATTAATATAGATGACAAAAAGCAATAATTTTAAAGGTCCTAAATACAGGGATCCCCGATCTTTTAATCTATTATGAATTCTATCGAGGATTATGCCTGGCGTTGGGCGAAATATGAAGGAAAGCCTTGAACATTTGGTCAAAATGGATTAAGTGTATTAAAAAATATATTTAAGAGTTGTGTTTGAAAGTTAAAAGACAAAATACGAACCATCTATACTTCCGTTTTCACTAAATCTGAGGTGATTGAAGAATAAGAGAGAGGACATGAACAATATGTTATGGATCCAGCAGACAAGGCCTGTAACAATATCGTCTTTGTAAGGCTCATTATTATAACTGTATTTTAGAAGTTGGTTTTATTTCTACATCTGGAAATCCAACTTATACCAAGTCACTTTCTAAGGATAAAATTCTTCAAAATCATATTTCAGTCACTCATATAGAGACGTCACCATACACCGGTGAAGGGCTTCAAATTTAGACCTTTACTCGGCACTCAGGGCCATTGAACAGTGAGGGTTCTTTATCGTGCCAACACTTGCCGTGACACGGGACCTCGATTTTTAAGATTTCATGCGAAATACCCGCAACTTTAACTGCAAAGTGCCGAGCGCTTGGCGAAGAAACAGTTGCTACCTATTTTTTATCGACTTAGGTCAGACGCGGCCGTGATTCGAACACACGACCTTCCGATCACGGAGCGAGCGCTCTACCGACTGAGCATCGTGACGGTACCATGCATTCAATGAAGATGAGTTCGCCTACCTATACCGGATTCCTACACTTTATAAAAATCCCTACAAACAAAGATATCTTTATTCCTCACAGAAATATTAACGGCTGTAAAGGAGAAACTTTAGATACTCTGCTACAGCATATCCTAGCAGTAGTGTAAATCGGATGTGGATTATCAAAAACTCCAAAAACCTTTTAGAAATTTAAAATCACCAATTTTTCAAAAGTCAGTAACATCAAAATTTACTTTATACTATGGTCTTTAATTCGTAATGAAGAATATGGTTGTATAAAGTGCTGAAAGTGTAAAGGAATCAAGAGTAAATATATACATGCAATGTTTTTATGATAAACGTGATGACTTTCACTTTTCAATCATCAACTTCCCTTACTTATGCAGCAATATACCTTCATCACCTGCATATAGAGTTTATATTTTTAAGTCGATTCGATACACAGGAGCATGCTCTACGTATGAACAATTTCTAAAACGAGGTAAGTTATTGACAAAGAAGTTGATGAAACAAGAATATCAGCAGTCTTGTTTAAAGTCTTCATTTCGTAAGTTCTATGGTCGATACAGTGACCTTGTCAGCAAATACAATTTATCATTAAGTCATATGCTGACTGACGTTTTTCATACTAATTGTTAGCTTATTATTTACACACTGAATTGTCGACGGATTTTTCCGTTATTACCCGATCATGACAAGGAACACTCGGCGGGTGTGACCGGTCGGCATGGGATGCTCACTCCTCCATGACACCTGATCCCACCTCTGATGTTTGAGGTCCGTGTTTGCTCTGCTCCAAAATTTGTATTGTTTAATGGACTTTTGAGCTTGAATACTGTTCTTTATCTCCATACATTTCATTCAGGTTTATATACCATAATCACCACAGCGACTCATTACTGATTACTGCATTTGGCTACATGAAGATTGAGGGGGTCAATCTGTAATAAAGTCAAGATTTTGCAATTTATTTGTTTGAAAATGCAATCTTATGTTTGATAGAATTTTTCTGGCGTTCTTAATACAAATTGCTAGTCAATTATTTTAATACAGCTTTGTCTACGGTTAACCCTATCCCCCGATCAAGACAAAGGGCTCACCGCGGATGTAACATCAACAAGGATGCCTACTCCAACAAGCAAATAACTCCCTACTGATGTTTACACGAGGTAGTGTTTGCTCTGATTTCGATCTGCAATGTTTAATTGTTTTTTGGCTCGATTGCTACTAGTTATTTTCACATTTCTAGTTTAAGTTCTATGTCGATGTCAATATCATGTCTGTGCATATGACTTTGTTCTGCACAGTGCATCAGAACGACTTGGACTTGTATATACCATACGGTGTTTAAAAAGAATTGTATCTCTTAACTACAATACTTGTTAACGTGCATTATCTTTGTCCCTTTAACAAAGCAACTCAGAGGTTCAGACCGTCTTTTGACCTTTTATGCTGCCATTTATGAGATTTTCTGCTCATCATTAATATGGTACGTGTTTCTGATTAAGAAATACAATTTTGGTCATGGCTTTGATATTTTTAAAGACAAGTCTAAAGAAACAGCTTGCCGAAGTAATACAGTGTGCTCAAACAAATAAAAGAAAGGAATCCAATGCCAATAGAGGAAATTTTTCTTAGTCAATCATAAATTAATGAGGACACAATTTTTATAAACTGTAAATAATGTACTAGATCTGTAAAATTGAATGTACTATTTAGTATTTTACGTTCTGTTAAACACATAATGGACCAGTCTTGAATTACTCTCCTTGCAGGAATTCCGCTGTAAATGGCAGAAAAAGTATGCATCCGGAGTAAAGAAAGAGGCTTAATAGAACATTTACTGGAACCCAATATTTATCTTTGTTGTAAGGATTTTAATGACGTTTCGGAATCCAATTTAAATGTGGTAATTCAAATTCATTTTCATTGTTGGGAATATTAAAATATTCAAACTGACATATGATTTTGAAGAATTTCCTCCTTAGAAAGGGGACTATGGGCATAAATTGGATTACCACTTGTAGAATTAAATCCCATTTCCTCTATAATACAATGAGCCTTACAAACAAAGACAATGTTGTTACCTTCTTTGTCACCTGGGACCAGTACATACTGCTCGTGTAGTCTTTCCAATTCTTTTTTTCACTTCTGAATTATTGAATACAGTACTATAGATGGTTTTCATATTGCCCGTCGATCGCTTAATGCGTGATTTTAACATACATCTGATACATTTGATCCATTCTGACAAAGTGTCAAGGTCATCTTTTTCATGTCTGGCCCATCACCTGGCGTAATCTTCCAGAGAATTCACAGTATTTATGAAAGTATGACGCCAGTTGAAAGATCGAGGTTCCCTAAATTTTGGCCCTTTTAAAATTAGTGATTTAAGATCCTCATTATTAACTACATATTTACGTCAACAGTAATAACATGTTCAGCAGGACTATAGTTGCAGAGTGAAGAAGAACATGAATACGATATATTATTATGTTTCAGACCTTGTCAGCAAATACAGTTTATCATTAAGTCAATTGCTGACTGACGTTTTTCATACTAATTGTTAGGACATAATTTACACACTGAATCGTCGACGGATTTTTCCGTTATTTCCGATCATGACAAGGAGCACACGGCGAGTGTGACCGGTCGGCAGGGGATGCTCACTCTTCCATGGCACCTGATCCCACCTCCTATGTTTTAGAGGTCCGTGTTTGCACTGCTCCAAAATTTGTATTGTTTAATGGACTTTTGAGCTCGAATACTGTTCGTTATCTCCACATATTTCACTATGTACATTTCATGCTCAATATCCAGGTTTTGCAAAGTTTTCTTGTAATTAAAAAGTTTGGAAGCAATAGTTGATGTATTTTAGTGAAAAAAGCTCTAAAAGCTGAAAAATCTTTTCTTAGGAATTTATAGTTGTACAGTAATCTATTTTTATTCATATTGTTAAAATGCAGAATGAAAACAAATGCTTAACTTTATTTCTTTACCGGATGCATAGACATGTATATGACTGCTGACTACACTTCTCACATAGAAAATGAAGCCGTAACAATCAATTCAAAGTCATTGTGCAGTGATTACGTCAAGGCTTAAAAGATTCAACATTAGGTTTAATGTCTTAACACAGCGACCAAGAGGTTCAAATTGTCTTTTGACCATTTATACTGCCAAAAATAGAGATTTTCTGCTCTTCATTAATATGACATGTGTTTCTGATTATGAAATACAATTTTGGTCATGGCTTTGATATTTTTAAAGTCTAAAGAAACATTTTGCTGAAGTAATGCAATGTGCTCAAACAAATGAAGGAAAGGAATCCGATGCCAATAGAGGAGATACTTCCTGCTGTCGATGATATTCCCCAACTAAAGATGGGAACCCGTGAAAAAGATACCTGAAAAAAAGAATTTTTTTCTGTGTCAATCATTAGTTAATGCGGACACAATTTTATAAACTGTGAACAATGTACTAGGTCTGTAAAATTGAATGAAATATTTAGTATTTACATTCTGTTAAACATGTAATGGGGCATTTTTGAATTACTCTCCTTGCAGAAATTCTAGTCTTCTATAAATAGCAGGAAAAGTAGGCAGAGTTTAATTAATAACAAGGCTGTACCACCTTAATGTTCCAGTAATGTAATTCCAATGAAACAATAAATTTTGCCATATTTTACGAATTCAAAAAGTATTTTTAGAAAAGAATATTTTGAAAACATTTTGAGTTATCATTTTTTTTTAATTGAGTCTTATAGCTATAAATACATTTTCCTTGGAATCTCTGGATTTCCATTTTTATTGTTCATTTTTGATATTTTTATCTTGGTATGAGAAAAGAAAGTATATATAGAACACTAAATATCTCTAAATACCCTGAAAGTATGTAAAACTGTTTTGTTTGCATCTTCACAGAATACAATAGTACCGAAAAGTAACTCCTTTGTCTAAAAGAAGTACACTAATATATAATTGCAAATGAAACCTTGTTTTCCTTACATTTGAATGATTAAAGAGTTTGGGTAATAGTTTAACTCATGTAATTATTTACAGATGGTCATATTTTTTTATTTCAAAAGAGTTCCAACAATAGAGAGTAATTCAAATGTAGGCCTCTGGCATACCCGTAGCCAGAACGGAGATTTAAACTCATAAACATATACGAAGAATGTTGTGTTTTCCTTGGGTCCAAAGAAATATTCCCAGTGGTAAAACCTTGCCCGAAAGTAATGGCATGGACGTTGTTTGACAATCATTATCTCCCTGTCACCCGTAGATTCTAGAAAAAGGCAACAAAAACTAAAGCAAAGGTTTTACAATAATGAAAAACTAGTTAGAGTTATATCAGTATGGTTATCAGCTAATCAAACTAGCTGTACATTTCATATGAGAAATATCATTTAAATATAAATCAACAGAGAAGAATTGCGATGACCATCATCTGATTTTTAAAAAATTTTAAACCCTTACTTTTTTTCATTGTTACATAGAAGTAGGCTATATCCGAGCATTTTAGAGCAAAGTCCACATCACGCTGACTCTATAAGAGAAATCATGTGCATTATTGGTTTTAATCAATACCATAGCTATATTTTTGTAATATACACAGTTTTATCTCCAACACTGCAACGCATTCTTCAAAGAATTTAACTATTTATATGCCTCATTACTTCTTAAGCCCAAGCTGAAGCTCAAGACAGACAACTTAATTGACTTAACAACTTAACAGCGTAATTGAGTCAAAAGAGGGTCGGTCAATTTATTTCAACATAAAAGTAGAATTCAAATTTATATCAGCAGTTATAGCCTTACGAAGTATGGGTTGCTCATGAAGTTGATCTGGGTGTATGGCCTATCCTCTGGTTTGGAAAGATTAAAGGTGTACTGATAGTCCGCTATCAAGTTATCTGGAAATCCATATCATGTATCAAGCAAAATATCATCTATTATTATGGATTTTTTTAAAATCAAAATCATGCATCAAGTAGGATTATTATCCATTATAATGAAAATGTAAATCATGTATTATGAAAAATTTAGAAATCTTACACAGCTGCAATGTTATCTTAAACTACTCACAATGACATGTTCCTGTTTATGGATTTCCAAAATATTTATGGGGTTCATCACACCTGAAAAAACATCAAAATGATGTAAAACTGTATATATTTTACATCCACTGGATACTATCTACTGGATTATTGTTTAAAAATAAACAATAAAATGTCCTTCTTTGTTAGTTTGAGAATTAATTTTGCAGCTATTGCAGAATAGCTGCAGCATTCATTCCTATACTAACAACCAAAGAAAGCATTTTATTGTTTAAATATTTGTCTTCACTGATATATTTTACTTTCGTCGATACATTCTAATATTTTCATGACCTTTGCATTTAGATTATGGTTTGACTTTCTTAATTTTATACTTAACCCATAGACCCCCTTTTCACATTGATCTCCAATGACTCCCGTTGTTCTACAGTGACGTAAACTTACTTTTCACATTGATCTCCAATGACTCCCGTTGTTCTACAGTGACGTACACTTACTTTTCACATTGATCTCCAATGACTCCCCTAGCACTACACTGACATAGACTTACTTTTCACATTGATCTCCAATGACTCCCGTTGTTCTACAGTGACATAGACTTACTTTTCACACTGATCTCCAATGACTCCCCTTGTTCTACAGTGACATAGACTTACTTTTCACATTGATCTCCAATGACTCCCCTTGTTCTACAGTGACACGCACGATTCTTCTGATCACAATAGTCTGCCTGTCCATTACACTGACATACTAAACATAAAACGCCTACGATTATTAATACAGTTTATAATGCTTAAGAATTTTATATGTAGATTTATTTTAACAAAATTTCTATTTTTAACTACTGGTTTCAGGTTACCAAATATATTTTGAATTTTCGTAATTCCGTGTTTTGTAAAATCATGTTATCTTCCATTTGTTTGTTGCGCAATTTTCTTTGTAATGAACTCTTTCAGGCGGAATTTTTAAACAATGTCTATTGTCGAAGTCTATTTATTTTTTATTTTCATCACTCACCAGAACAACTCCCACCATTACTGGTATCACCATAGTAACCATCAATACATCTCTCACATGACTTCCCTGAAAGTAAATAACTATAAAATTTTATTTTTGCTTTTGCTAGATTCCAATGAAATCTTGAAAAAGATGTTAATGGTTACCTAACAACTAAACTTTATGATAAAGGTGATGACTTCAACCTTTCTATCGTCAACTTCCCTTATTTAGGTAGCGATGTACCTTTTTTACCTGCAGAAGGGGTTTACGTCTCCCAGTTGATTCGATACGCAAGAGCATGCTAAATTGAGGCAAGCCATTGACAAACATGTTGATGAAACAAGAATATCAACAGTCTCATTTAAATCATCATTTCGCAAGTTCTATGGTCGATACAATGACCTTGTCAGCAAATAGAACCTGTCATTAAGTCGAATGCTGACTGACGTTTTTCATACTGATCGTTAGGTCATTATATTATTTACACATTGAATTGTCTACGAATTTTTCCGTTTTCCCTATCATAACAAGGAGCACACGCGAGTGTGACCGGTCGGTGGGAATGCTTACTCCTCCATGGCACCTGATCCCACTTCTGATGATTTAGAGGTTCGTGTTTACTCTGCTCCCGAGCAGACACTATCAGTATTATTGAATTCAGCAATTCCTGGAGCAGACACTGTCAATATCATATTCAGTAATATCTGCTGGAGCAGATATTGTCATTTTTATTGTATTCAGTATTTACTTGACCAGTCACTCTCGTTATTACTGTATTCAGTAATTGCTGGAGTAGACACTGTGGATATTAAAAAGATGCTTGAGTTTCTGACTGACAATATCTATGTTGTTTTTGGAGACTAGGCCCAGGATCATGAAACAGACTTAGACTTAAGTCAAATTTTCAACCCCCTATAAAATGTTCATTAAATATTGAATTTATCTCTAAATTTGCAGATAACAATACTTGTGTAAAGGAAAATTGAAAAATATTTTGATTTTGTTCTGCATGGCTTCTACAAAAATTTAGTACAACATAAAGATTTTGACTTAAGCCTAAGATGTTTCATGATCCCTGGACCTGGTCTTCCAACAATCTATTGGAATTCCCTTGGGTACCAATTGCGCGCCCTTATTAGCAGACCTATTTTTGTATTTATATGAAGCAGAATTTGTTCAAAACCTTATACGTGAAAAGAAGAAAACACTTGCTGTGGCCTTCAACTCGACATTTAGATATATCGACAACGTATCGTCAATTAACAATAGTTTTTTCCATTCTTCTGTCGATACGATATAAGAAGAGCTTGAAATAAAAGATATCGCAGACTATGACACATCTGTTTCATATTTGATATTTTACTAGAAAAAACGTCAATGGCAAACTAATAATCAAGCTTTATGTTAAACGTTATGACTTTAACTTTTCCATCGTCAATTTCCCTTACTTATGCAGCAATACACCTTCATCACCTGCATACGGGGTTTATATCTCTCAGTTGATTCGATACGCAAGAGCATGTTCTACGTTTAAACAATTTCTAAAATGAGGTAAGTTATTGACAAACAAGTTGATAAAACAAGAATATCAACAGTCTCGTTTAAAGTCATCATTTCGTAAGTTCCATGTCCTTGTCAGCAAATACAATTTATCATTAAGTCAAATGCTAACTGACGTTTTTCATAATAATTGTTAGGCCATTATTTACACACTGAATTGTCGACGGATTTTTCCGTTATTACCCGATCATGACAAGGAGCACACGTCGGGTGTGACCGGTCGGCAGGGGATGCTCACTCCTCCATGGCACCTGATCCCACCTCTGATGTTTTAGAGGTCCGTGTTTGCTCTGCTCTGCTCCAAAATTTGTATTGTTTAATGGATCTTTGAGCTTGAATACTGTTCGTTATCTCCATACATTTCACCGTATTCAGTAATAGCTAAAACAGACACTTTCAGTTTTATTGTATTCAGTAATAGCTGAAACAGACACTATCTGTTTTAATGTATTCAGTTATTCAGGGTTCTCCACAAGGGGTTTTACCATGGCGGCCCGCCATGGTTAAGTTTATGTGCGCCATGGTTAAACGAGCTGCGCCATGGTTAAAATCGGCGGCCGCCATGATTAAATTTTATTGAATTTCAGTACTGACACTTAATTTTTAATGACCTGAGTTGTTAATTGTGTTTATACTACGGCTGGCATGCACCTTGAGAGAAAGCGGACTGTACGTGCTAAACAAACACGGTCGTTGATCGGCGAATACCGTGAAGCGTGACAATTGAGTCAATCAGTTGATGTCAATATCTTTAGAATTAATTTTTCTGTACACATGTAATTTCGGGGAACTTCAACGTGTTCACTGTATGTAATAACAAATTTACAAAAGATAACACAGCGCGCAGTAACGTAACGATGTCTAATAATCGACAAGCATTCGAATCAAGTTTCTGTGGCCAAAAAGAATTTTTCTATCCGTTGTATTTAATTAATACCTCTTGCTCCGTTTGTAACAATTTTATTATTTTTCTGATTAAATGGACACGAACGCCTATCACCAAATCCAAGTTTTAGAGTTATCTCCCGTTTTTATGAAACGTCGCGTGGCGCTATTTTTAGCAGTTGGGCACATCACATGGAGGAAGAAAATCAGCGAAAAACGCAGTGTAGAAAAACTTTTAGAAAGAACAGAGAAAGCAATGTTACAGTTATTTCAAATTTCTGCCCCTGGTTATCTTATACCATCAGTAAGCTTTCAAAGACCATGCAGTTAAAAGCTCACGCAATAGATGTCGGGGTTCGTTCGTGTGTTCGTTTGTGTGTCTGTAATTTTTTTTTTTCAAAATACTACTGAGTCTTCATCAGTTTTTGTCCTTTTTAAATAAAACTTTTCATGCGACAGGCAAGATCAGTACTGCATATTAGCTTCTGAATAAAATTCGACTAACTTTGTTGCAATGTTTACTATATACATGTATTAAAATTTTTAAAAAATATGAAATTCTTTTAAAACGATCCTACAGTTTTGGTCCAATTTTGGTACATTTGGTACTTTTGTAAATTAAGATACATTATCTTTTTTATTGTTTTATTTTCATTTCTTTTCTTTTCTTTCTTTTTTTTTAAATTTCTTTAAAGGGGGGGGGGGGTGTATTTCATCTTCTTGTTTTGCAGTCACTGTGGTTACGTTTTGTGAAATCAATCATTGTTATGAAGCTTAGAGAGTCTAACACGCGTTCAAGCTTTCGATCATATTTCCCTTTCGCGCAGCTTCCTCCATGGTTAAATTTTCAAATGTGGAGAACCCTGGTTATTATTGGAGCAGATACTATCGGTTATATTGTATTCAGTGCCCGTTTAACTGGACCAGACACGCTCAGTATTATATTGTACTCGTTAATTATTGGTGAAGACACTATCAATATTATTGTACTCGGTAATTATTGGCGCAGACGAGATAAGTTTTATTGTACTCGGTAATTATTGGTGAAGACACAATTAGTATTATTGTACTCGGTAATTATTGGCCCAGACACTGTCAGTATTATTGTATTCAGTAATTAATGGGGCAGACAGACACTATCAGTTTCTTACCCTCCGTCATGTTCTGGCAACTGTCACACACTCCCGTCACATTCAGACACGTGCTGTGTCCATTACACTGACAATCTACAATAAAACATGATTTTAAAAATGATTTTCCTGACAAATAATTTTACAATCAATTATTACACAATACATGTATGTTATCTTTGAAAATTCAATGCAAATTATTTCCTTTTTTACATGTTGAAGTACAGTGCATTTAGGTCACCTTAATACCATAGATTCCTAAATATAAGCAAAGAATTTATTATCACATAATTTCATGAGAAGCACCACTTGCCAAATAAAATTACTTGCTTTTATTCTTATATTGCTAAGATACATGTAAAATACCTCGATCAAAATAGTATTTGTGAATCCATATTTTCCTGCTTTGACATCTTCGAGTCATTTCAAGGTATTAAGTACTCGTGTAAAATTAGGAATCTACAGTTACGGAATTAACAATGAATGAAAGATTCTAATTATTCCTGTCATCTTCTAACCTGGACAGTTGATAAAAAACCATTGATTGGCTGGACATTTGCTAAGGTCAGTGAGCTGGTGATCAGTTTGATTGACAGGTCCTGAGGCTCCACCCTCCATACATCGACCAATCCCTGTGTTGCTGGGATCGTTACACCACCCACACAAAGGGTTAGATTGACAATCCTTACAAGAGTGAAGATCAGAGCAGCGAGTTGCTACAGAGAGAAATTTAAGTTCTTACATGACATATTATTTTGAAGTGGCATTAATAATACATGTATTCAACATTTCCAAAAATTTCATTGCTCAGAAAACGTGATTCTTCAAACTAAACATAAAAATGAATGATTGAATTTTAATCACTATGTTTGACTTCACGAAAGTTACCTGGACATTTAGATTTGTCTGTGGTCCATTCCATACACTGGCCGTATATAAATGTGGCCACATAGGCGTTGGTTTCCACACATTTCTGTTGGTTACTGCACCACATACATTTTTGTGACGTACAGGTCTCACATGTCTTGTTCATGTAGCAAGGTGTAGGACACTGAGTCTTTTCAGGGTCATCAAAGTTATTAAATGTATCTGAGTCAACAGAAAAAAAATTCAAGGTAAATGAAGAAGCTTATGACAGTTCATAAAATTAGCGTTTAATATCAAGTGAGCAAAGGGACAATAATGATTCCTGGAAACTACTCACAGTAGACTCATCTTCCTACTTATAGAATTATCTCCCTTAAAACAGATTTATCACCCCCTTCAAACTGAAACATCTACCAAATCTTACAGTGAGTCCCAATTGCATGTGAGCGTTTCTGACATTCTTTAACAGTCTGATTCCACTTGCAGGTTTTGGACTGTACACATGCCACACAGTTGTGGAAGAGAGAACACACACTGCTGTGTTTAGAGGGACAGCGATGAATGCGAGTGGACGTGATCTAAAAATCAGTTGAGTTGAACTAAAAACACCTGAATGGGATCTCGTAAAATCCCTCTGAGGAGTAACACTGTGTTCACTGACTTTATGTTGAAGACTCCGCCCCCCTTTTTTTCTTTTTACTAATTTAAAAGATAATTTCTAGTTTTCCTAATGACTAACACCACAAAATAATTATTCCCAAAAATCATGCAGAAAAAGACAATATCAAAAGCAAAAAAACCAAAGAAAAGAGAAAGTAAAAAAAAAATATTACAAAAGCAAGAAATCGGTGAGATGCATATACAAGAGAAGTGTGTTTGATTGTAATGATAACACTTAGCTCTTACTCAGAATTGAAGAAATTTAAATTTACGTCACATACAGATGCTTTCATAATGTTCAGACACTGTACCCAAGTTATTTTTAAGACTTGTCTAATATTTTTTTTTATTTATCCCCATGTAAAACTTTGGACTACTTTTTGTGGCTTTACACTGACCTGGGTCATTCTACTTTCTCAGTGTTAGTCAAATGTTTAAAAATCTTTAAAGCATGTAAAGCGACTTCATATGGCTGAAAAACTTAACAAGAGCATCTTTTATGGAATGCAGCAACAATCACAATTTCTGTTCAATCTGTGAGGATAAATTATGCAGACTTCTTGGTTTGCCATTTTATGTCAATTACACATTACACATCCAACCCTGATAAAACTATGTCTGCACTAAATACAGTCCAGCAATCTTAAGTTGTTCTTATTTAACATGGCGTACATTCACAAACAGTTACAGGATATTAGCAAGTATACGATGATAAAGACCTACAACTAGGAGGAAAAGGGTCAAAAATGGGGTCACCCTTGCATGTTCAGGGTAAAAATTACCTATGTATTTGAAAATTACCAACTGTGATGACTAAATCTGTGAGCAATATTAATTATTGGGGAAAACTTTTGATAATGAGAAGTCTTTCCAAGTTTCATAAATATTTTCAAAAGTTTACAAAGACTAATAAAGTTTACAATGGCCAAACTAATGGCTAAACTACTAAGCTATAAAAGACAATGAAATAAAATACAGTAGATAACAAGCCAGTCCATATGCCTCTGCATATATATTACACAGGTAAAAATTTAACGCTTCAATACTAACCAGTGACATTTTTCTCATTTTTGTTGTTGTCTTTTTCCTGGGAGACAGGTTTACATCCATCAGACCTCCACTGACAGTCAGGGAAGGAGTTACACCCCTGACATCTGTGTTGTTCAGAGCAGGGTTGTTCCCCCTGACTGGAGCACTGTGAGAGATCACCGGCAAACTCAGGATGCTAAACAAACAAAAATATAAACAGACTTAAAATCAAAATAAAGCAACAAAAATTATCAAGCTCAAATTTACAGCAACAAATTGCACGTATCTAAACTCTTTGTTCATGTTTATAAGACTGTAAGGTTTATCTTAATGAACCCAGGGGACATAATTGTCATCATAATACTAGTATACTGTTCAAAAATAAATACATTGTAAAATTTTAGTTACACATTGAACATTAAGATTACTTAGTAGAATGATGTATTGATAATAAAGAAATGTGTTAAATAATATGTCTACAATTTGATATCATAATTACTCTAGAAGTTTGGTTTTACACAGACAATTCAAGGTCATTAAAAAACAATATCGGGTATGACCCCTCTCCCCGGCACCAATGATAGCCTAAAACGCCATCCCAATGGACGCAAATGAGTGTATTAAAACTATATTGGAATGCTATTCCACTCTACATGTAGAGCTTGGGTCAGCTGTTGCAGAGTCTAAGGATGCAGTTGTCTTTGGCGGACATACCTATCCATTTTGATCAATGCATTCTCGATGGTTTAAATCTGTGATTTAGATGGCTTAGGCAGAAGAGGATGCTGTGGGTTTTGTAAGAATGGGCTTGTCAAACGAGTCGTATGTGGTTTTCTTATGTCAGATTTAAATACGGCTCAAGAATCTGCATTATTGGAAAGACATGTACAGGTAGGATATCCTTAGAGCACTATTTTGCCGCCAAAGTCCTTAGAATGAACAATGAACCAAATCAGCTCTGCTTGTATTTACTATCGTTTTCCATTGATCATTACACGACCACCACCAAATTCATCAACCTCCGGGTGGCAGTTTTCTGTAAAACGTTCATTACAAAGCTTATGCACTCTGACTCTTCTACATGTATCAGACTTTGTAATAAACATTTTTGCTAAAGCCAAGCCAAAATGTTCAGTGGTGTTGCTGTGGCCATACCGTGCTACATGTATTATGAGACCTTTGATTTCGATATTTGCGGTGTTGTTGGGTCACAACAATGGCATGAATAAGTCCTATGGCTCTTATTACGGCACCTTGTAGTCAATTGCAAACAGTCTTTTTGATATTCTGTACAGTTCAGGCAAAGCTAATGCTGTAGACGAGATCATTGTGGAATTTTGATGAAGATTAAACAAACCAATGAAGCGATCTTGTGCTGAAAATATCATGCATGGTCTACTATATACTAATATTTGATGATTATTTGTTGAACCATGCTGTTAGTATCTATTTATAGGTGAGAAATGGTGCAACATTAAAACTTTTTGCAATTGTGGACTGTGGTACGTAATCTGCTTCCATTCGTATAAAACACGTCAGCTACAATACGACACAATGATAGGTTACATTTGCCAAAAAGGTCATTATAACAATAATAGAATTTACGAAATGCTGACTTTGAAAGAGGTTGTTCAAATACCTGCCTCGGTTTAAATATTTTGATCGTACTATTACTACATAAATAAGGAACGTTGACGATGGTAAAGTAAAAGTCATCTTGTTTGTCATTAAACGTCGTCGGTATAATTATCTGAATGTCCAGTTGAAGGCCACAGTGAGTATTTTCTTTTTCTTATGCAGAAATTTTTAAAATAAATTCTGCTACATAGGAATGTAAACACGGGTCGACTGATAAAGGACCACAATTAGTGCCTATAAAAATTAGAACAGTTTATTAGTAGACCTGGCCCCAAGACCATAAACTGAGAATAGACTTAAGTCAAAATTTTGATTTTTAATATCTTGAGTTTTATTTAATGTATTTGCTTAAAAATTTGCAATTTTACATAACATTTAAATTCCAATATATAATAAAAATTTTGTTTCATTATCAAAATTATTTCAAAAGTTATATTGGTTTAAAATTTTGACTTAAGTTCTGTTCTCAGTTTATGGTCTTGGGGCCAGGTCTCCGAAGACTCATGAAATGTCAATGGGGAACTCCAGCATCCTTTTAATGTCAACTTCAGATTATCTTTGTATAGAACTATAGTGATTTTTAACAAGGTAATTTTATTGATGACCAATCACTTGATACGAAAAATGTCCGTGTACAATTTTATTGCAGAAGCATTTGTCTATGATATCAAAAAGCCTAGTTTTTAATTTATCGTGAGGAATTGTAATATAAAGTGTTGAAAAGTCATACGTTTCAATGATGTTATTGACTTCTGAAAACTTTGATGATTTTAAGTTTTCTTAAAGTTCTTTGGAGTTTTTGAGAATACACATCTGATTTACACACTTCTTGAATATGCTGTAGCCCAGTACGTCTAACGATTCTCCTTTATAGCAGAAAATATTTTTATGGAGTAAAGATAGAGGCTTGGTAGAGGAATTACATAACTTTTTTGAATGACTACATGTATTTATAACAAATATAAAGAAAATTTATAAGTGCATAAATTTCGTACCATTTGATTGGTGCTAGTACATTTGTCAGCCGCGGTACATTTATCGAGACACCACACACAGTTGAAGGCCGTGGACAGGCAGGTGGGGCACGTCGTGAAGGTACCGCATTGCTTATCACCACCTACAAAATACAAGTTGATTGACTGAATAATTATCTAAAGCTTTACACGCAAAGCAGACCTTCTAAATCATGGTCGACGCAATTTTATTATTGAAATATTTTATCCTTGAAATTATAACCTTTAAATTGGTGCAGGACATACATGTAAGACAATGCACCATAATAAAACTTGAAAATGAAACTACGATAAGTGTTACTCAGCTTGTTCATTACCTTTTCCAAGTATTCACTCTGTTTAACAGAGGAGTCGCAAAATAAAACTATACCACTAATGATATATCATTTCAAAAGAATTAGGACAGACCTCAACACCATCTTCTCTATCAATCAAAAGATTTTCAAAATCTGTATTGAATAATTATTCTGTAATGTTTGTGGAGTTATCCAGCACTTGAATTGTTTTAAGTGAAGGTGTGGGGGGGACCTACCAAACACTAAATTGAATATTATTGATTGTCACCTACTTCTGTGGGGAGATGAGACACAAAATGTTGAAATCAATAAATATATTTTTCAATCTGTACAAAAATTTATAAGAGATTCTGGCAGATTCAATTAATTATTATATAGACCTTGACAGTTGTAGCCATTTATGGTGAGAACCTCGTAAGTTGTTAGAACTTGTGTTCAAACCATTTATATATTATTTATAAGTGATAGAGTGATATTTTAATTTATTTTATTAAGTGAATATTATATTATATAGTTCAGTGACTTAATATTCACGTGTATATATTTTATTTTTAGCATCGCGCAGCATTTCGTTTTCACGGAGTTTTGCGCTCACCGTTAATAAAATTAATAAAATACTACAACTTCATTTGGTTTTAATCTTTACTTATGTTCTAGAAGTTCTTACTTATCCTGAGGGTATATAATGTTATTGGTCAGTTTTAATAACCAAGCTTGCGATTGGTTAGGGACGTTTTCCCGCCGATCTCTTTGTTTGATCACTTTGACATCGAGAGGCCATTGAGAAAGATATACATATACATATTGTGGTCATTATTATTATTATACTTGATTTTGAGACGAGACCTCAGGACAGAGACTGTAAGTTGACTTCTATTTCTTTTATCTATACTAATTCTTATTCTATACTTTCCAATAATTCATCGTCTTTGATTTTTAATGTAATTTTGTGAAGATATACTGAGTTCAACTTTATCATTATTAAATGAAGCTTAAAGTATAAATTCTTTGAGTATGTAAATAAAATATCAATTATGCAGAAGTGTATATAGAATATAATTATTGTTTAATAGGAGTCTATATATCAAGACCCGTTATTTTTATCGGGTGGCCCATTGTTTGAGCCTTGATCCACAATCAGGTATACCTGCTATTATTTTCTATTTATTATGTATATATTATTGTAAATAGATTTGTGAACTATTCATTTTATTGTAATAGTTCTGTTCGATTTATATTCTCGTTTTCAATACGTTGATGTAAGGGAAATAACTCTTACTTTTTCCATGTATTTATTTCAATGCTCAGTATAATGTGTAATACTTTTATGATCGATTATTATAAAGTAATTCATGCCTAAATTCATGAATATCATTATAAATGTAATATGTTTGTTTGTTTTCTAAATACTTATTATTTGTTATTGATATTTTCAGGGCTTTATTGATGTATTTATTCAACATGACAAAATAAAATGATCGAACCTTAGACGCAGGAGTTCTTCTTTAACACCATAAGAAAACCCTGTTACATATACAATAAAATATGTTCAAACCTACCTTCGGTGTGATCACACTGCTTCTCCTCAGCTCCAACCATACTGGGATCAAGGTCAGACAAGGACAGACATCGCCCCCCTGTCCACACACATGACCTTTCCTGTACGAACCTCAAACAGTCCTCTTTAGACGTGTAATAAGAGCAATTCCCTGCAGAAAAGAAGTACACGGAAACCTTCCTTAATAAGAATTCTAGAAGCACTTTCAATCGAATGTCTTTTTTACCATTTTTTTTTCCTTAAATAGATAAAAGTGCATTTTTCCTGCTTTTATTTCTGTTTTGGTATTAATGCTGTCATTATGAATAGGGGATATTCAATGTTTTATAGTAGGGTATGGAATTCATTTCACGAGTGGGACAGAATTTTAAAAAAAAATATTTTTAAGAGTCCATATCCAACTATGAAGTATTGAATTTTCAGTTTACTCTATTTTCTTTCATTTTCCCTTTGCCTCTGTCTTTCCGTAACACAGTGTCATAGGCTGTGACGTCATAGACGAGCGGTTGAGACGATTGAAAAAAATTGTAAATATTTGATTTCAATAACATATTTGGAGAAACTTTGGCAGTTTTAGTCTCTGTCAGGATGGTTTATTTTACTTATTCTATCTTATAACAGGCCAAGGAGTACTTTTTACCACATTCATCGTCAAGGAAAAGAAAATCGAGTGTTTTGTCGCACTTCTAATATTCTGTCACACTGTGACAGATATCACTTTGAAATCCTTTCATGCTGTGATTGAATATCACTAATTACAGTATTTCACTGAGGTAAATGTAATATTTACCTGGGGATAAGAGGAGAGCATTGGGTTCCATTATGCCACTAAACCCTCCCAACACCAGCATCTCTGTTTTACCATTCCTACAGTCAAACAATACTGTATATAAAATTTTGCATGAATCAATATTAAAATAAGTATATTGCATTAATAAGATACATTAACATGTAATGAAATATATGGAGATACTAGTAACGAACAGTATTCAAGCTCAAGAGTCCATTTAACAATACATATTTTGGAGCAGAGCAAACACGTATCTCCAAAACATCAGAGATGGGATCAGGTGCCATGGAGGAGTGAGCATCCCCTGCCGACTGGTCACACCCGCCGTGTGCTCCCTGTCATGATCGAGATATAACGGAAAAATATAATGACCTAACAATTAGTATGAAAAACTTCAGTCAGCATTTGACTTAATGATAAATTGTATTTGCTGACAAGGTCCTTGTATCGACCAAAGAACTTACGAAATAATGACTTTAAACGAGACAGTCGATATTCTTGTTTCATCAACTTGTTTCTCAATAACTTACCTCGTTTTAGAAATTGTTCATACGTAGAGCATGCTCTTGCGTATCGAATCAACTGAGAGATATAAAACCCTATGCACATGATGAAGGTATATTGCTGCATAAGTAAGGGAAGTTGACGATTGAAAAGTTAAAGTCATCACGTTTATCATAAAGCTTGGTTGTTAGATTACTATTAACGTCTTTTTCTTGTAAAATATCCAAATATGAAACAGATGTGTCAGACTTTGTGATATCCTTTATTTCAAGCTGACCGGGATATATCGTATCGACATACGAATGGAAAAAACCATTGTTAATTGACAATACGTTGTCGATGTCTCTGAATGTCGAGTTGAAGGCCACAGCAAGTGTTTACTTCTTTTCACGTATAAGGTTTTGAACAAATTCTGCTTCACATGAATATAAAAATGGGTCTGCTAATAACAGGGCGCAATTGGTACCCATGGGAATTCCAATACATTGTTGGAAGACCTTGTCTCCAAAAACCACATAGATATTGTCAATCAGAAACTAAAGCATTTTTTTAATATCAACTTCAGAGTACTTGTGTGTACAATCAGAATGTTTTTAACAAAACAATTTTGCAAATGATCAATGACAAGGTAAGTATATTTACGAGTTCATTTTTATTGAAAAAGCAGGTGTCAATGATATCAAAAATCCTGGACTTTAATTTATCGTGGGGAATGTAAGTATTAACATTTAGTATTGTTTCTTTTTTTTTATTGACAGTTTTTTTTCTCATGTGAATTGTGGGGATTATATAAACCGAGTAGCTAGGTAACATAGCAAAGATAAGTTGTATAATTAAAAAAAAAAGAATATGAAAATAATTTTAAAAACCTGTTAATTTTCATTAAGTATGAAATGCAGTAATGCAATAAAAATTGCAAGTAATATATACGTTCACGTTATAATGACCATTTATAGTATACATGTCCATGGTACTAGCATACAGTACATCTAGACTTTATAGTATACATGTCCATGGTACTAGCATACAGTACATCTAGACATCTCTGAATCTTTTAAAATAATTAGTGAACTCTGTTACTTAGCACATACATATCAATGTGCCAAAGGTTCTAAAACATTGTGCCAGATTTTCTTGTTTTGTAGTAAAAAACAGAATAGTGACAGAAGACAAATTGAATTAAGAGCCAGCTACTTCACTAATAACTGAGTTGGAAGTCTCCATTTTTGCATGTGTATATAGTATATTCCGAATTATCATTAGCATGACATTATGACAAGGAGCACACGGCGGGTGTGACCGGTCGGCAGGGGATGCTTACTCCCTCCTCCATGGCACCTGATCCCACCTCTGATGTGTTAGAGGCCCGTGTTTGCTCTGCTCCTGATTTGTATTGTTTAATGGACTTTTGAGCTTGAATACTGTTCATTATCTCCATATATTTCATTACACCAAAAGATTCATTTCCTGCCCTTGACAGGAAATGGAAAGTAATGATAACTATGTAGATTCTGGAATTAATTTTTGGTTATTTTTTATAACTCACCTCTGGACAGTGACTGCCGAGTGACCATAACGAGCACCGTGTGACGCTAGTACAGAGGAGTTTAGCAGGGACCACTTGTTACATCCTGAAGTTAAAAAACTAATATATACATACAATTACAAATCTTTTACGAATTTAAATGGAGAACAACCAGTTCAGGATCGACAGTGCTAACAATTAATTGATAAATAAATAAAATTACATGTAGATAAAGAATGAGTCAGTTTTACTTTGCAGAATGTAAAAACAAAATACAAGTAGATATAAACAAGGACTAACCGACAACTGTACTGAATGATTTTAAGTCAATTTCCTTTATTTGTTCAATGATGTACTTCAGATGTTAAAATGATATCGTTCTTTGCCCTGCTCCGTAACATGACTTACTGATGTCGTACTGTAAAACATCTGGTGAGTAACACTTGGCTCCGAGGCTGATGGACGTATCGTTATGGGTGTTTCCTCCAAACACAATCATCATTCCGTCAATAATGACGGCCGAGTGAAGATACCGTGGAAGCTGGTTACGACGTAATTTTATCCTATTTTGAAATACAACAGTTTCTAATTAGTTATCACACTGGGATACCATCTGAAACACTGAAATGTACAAAATGAATCACCCACCTTGTCACCCCCCTCCCCCCCGAACCCCAACTTACCAGGTTCTTGTAGCTGGTTCAAATGAGTACAGTTGATCTGTGAGATCATAGTTAGAGGTACTGCGGGCATGATATCCTCCGTAGATATAGATCTTATCAAGGGCGGGGTAGTAAACACTAGAATGACCGTATCCTCCCTGGACCAGCGCTCCTCTTGTCCGCGACAAAGTCCACCTCTTATAAGCTGTAAATAGTTTAAAAAATAAAAGAAAATTGATGTAATTAACACGCTACAAGACTAGGTTTCCCTAACCACTGACTATAGACTAACAGGTACTCTACATACACAGATGTGCTAACAGGTACCTCACATATGTTGCCTAAAATACATTAAGGTTTTCTCAAGCTAACCGGGACCTTAGACACCCAGAAAGATCTTTATCTATAGTTAAGAAATTCAAGCTAACAGGTGCCCGTATGTACAAAAAACTTAGCAGATGTCATATTTGTAACATTTTAAATACAGGAGTCTTTACATAAAATTAATACCTACAAGCTACAGGTACCAGTCCAGCAAACTGCTGTCCTTGCCTACAGTCAGTCAAATCTGTCAGTCAAAATATTTACAACCCAGTGATAGATTATATTTGCAAATAATATCATTATTTTGACCACAAAATTTACGAAATTCTGACATAAACAATGTTGTTGAAATCCCTATAACGTCAATTATTTGTCAGTAACTTGCCTTAGTTTAAAAATTGATCGTATTCGGAGCATGCTCTTACGTATCAAACAAGTTGGGAGACACACACACCATATGCACGTGATAGTGGAATATCACTACATAAATAAGGAAAGTTGACGATGAAAAAGCTCAAGTCATCACGCTAGTCATACAGTTTAGTTGTTGGTTGGCCCTTATCGTCCAATGACAATGAAGAAAAATTTGAAAGTTAACTTATTGAAAAAGCATTTGAATGTCAAAAAGTCCGAGTTTTTTTTATTAATGGTGTTAAAAAATCATACGTTTTGATGCTGATAATTTTGCCAAAACTTTTTAATTCAAGTTTTGCGTTCTTTGTACTATTTTAGTATCTAAATTTAGTTAACAAATCAAGCATGTTGTTTCACATTATTGCTGAAATTTCTCCATAAGTGTTATTAGTATTTTCGGAAGGAGGGAAGGAAGAAGCTTGATAGAACATTTGCTAGATCGAGATATGTATATTTGTTTGAAGAATCTTTATGAAGTTTTGGAATCCATTATACATATGGTAATTCAGATTCAATTTTGTACTAAAACTGACTTGATTTTGAAGGATCTCCTCCTCAAAAAGTAAACTATAAGTATAATTGGTTTATTACTAGTAGAATTCAATCCTCTAATATGCGAGAAGCGTCACGGTAGCTCAGTCGGTAGAGCGCTCGCTCCGTGATCGGAAGGTCATGTGTTCGAATCACGGCCGCTACTGATCTAAGTCGATAAAAAAAAAAAGGTAGCAACTGTTCCTTCGCCAAGCGCTCGGCAGTTTGAAGTGAAAGTTGTGGACCTTAAAAACCGAGGCCCCGTGTCACGGTAGGCACTGGTACGATAAAGAACCCCCACTACTTAATGGCCCTGAGTGCCGTGTAAATGTGTAAATTTGAAGCCCCTCACCTGTATATGGTGACGTCTCTATATGAGTGAAAAATTCTCGAATGGGACGTAAAACAACATAAATTCAATTCAATTTGATTTTTTGTTTGTTTGTTGTTTAACGTCCCTCTCGAGAATTTTTCACTCATATGGAGACGCCACCACTTGCCGGTGGAGAGCTGCAAATTTTTGACCTATACTCGGCACTCAGGGCCATTGAGCAGTGAGGGATCTTTTCCGTGCCAGCACCTTCTGCGACACGGGACCTCGGTTTATTCGGTCTCATGCGAAGGACCGGTCTCCACGTTCCACAGTGGGATTCCGACCCGCAACGTAAGGATCAACTCCTTAGTCTGCGACTCTAGAGCAGACGCTCTATCCACTGCGCCACGCGGGCTACAATTCAATTTTAAAATGCGATGGTAATAATGAGCCTTACAAAAAGAAGGATAAGAAAGGCATATCTGGTAGTGTTGTGGCCTTCAGTTCATCATTTAGATATAATGACAGCATTTTATTAAATAACAATATTCATTTTCGGTTTTACGTTGATTCAATATTATGAACTAAGGACATGTTCTACGTAGGAGCTATTTCTAAAACGAGGCAACCTATTGACAAATAAGCTGATGATACAAGGACATCAACATCCTCGTTTTAAGTCAACATTTCTCAAATTCTATGGTCGATAGAATGACCTAGTTAGCAAAGCCACCGTTATTTCGAATGTTGACTAACGTTTTTCATAAAAAAGTCATTAAGCCATTATTCTTTACACTGCATTTTCATTATCAGAATTTCCCACCTGCCCGATCATGAAAAGGAACACAATGTGGGTGTGAACTGTCGACAGGAGATGCTTACTCCTCCATGGCACATAATCCCACCTCTGATGTTTTAGAGGACAGTGGTTGTTCTGCGCCCAATTTGTATTGTGAGCTTGATTACTGTTCGTTATCTTCATATTTCATTCCAATCAAGACACCGTAGGGTCTAGCGCATCTGATTCATATTTGTACACAACACACAAATAAATTCCCTATGGTGATCTCCCAAAATAGGAATACAGGATCAGTTTGGGTGATATCTTCTTCATTTTTTCCAATCATCTTACATTGACACAAACCAAAATGCCAAAAACACAGATGTGCTCTCCTGTAAGAAATATTAAACTAGATTTCCCCCCCCCCCCCAGTTGGTATTTTTCTACCGCTAGAAAATTCGCCGTTCTTTTTTTCTTCCTGCATACAGGTATTCTTACCTATATTGTATTCCTGGATCCTATTCTGGTAGCCATAGATTGGACTGTAACCAAAGAGAACATACATGACTCCCCTAACAATATGGGCTGTATGTCCTGCTACACCTATAGGTATAGTTACTGTACTGTTGTAATGCTGTACCGACCAAGTAAGTGATGTTGTATTGAAAATCCACAGATCTTTAGACGTATCATTCCCTTCCACTCCTCCAAATACGTACAACTTGTTCTGTAAATGTATATTCCGACCGTTATATTAAAGGCTTATTTCATCTTCCTCTGCAACCAATAACTAATTCTTTTTACTAACTTTGAAATCTGCAAAACTATATAATGAAATATGAAGATAACGAACAGTATTCAATCTCAAATGTCCAATGAAACGATACAATTTTGGAGCAGAGCAAACTTGGACCTCAAAATTAAGAGGTGGTATCAGGTGCCATGGAGGAGTGAGCATCCCCTGCCGACCGGTCACACCCGCCGTGTGCTCCTTGTCATGATCGAGGAAAAACGGAAAAATCCGTAGACAGTTTAGTATATAAATAAGGGCCTAACAATTCGTATGAAAAACGTCAGTCAGCATTTGACTCAAAGATAATAAGATAACAAAATTCTACATATTTTATTACACAATTGTATTTACATGTATCTATAATTCTGCAAACAAAAAAGACAATGTAGGTTGAGAGGCATACTTCTGCATTAAATTAAGCACGATGAAAGTTATTGAATAAAATGCATATTTTATACGATGGTCAACTTTGAATGTCCAAACTGTGAATAACTTACCTGATACGCCACCACTGAGTGTCCATACCGAGGAGGAGGACTCTCTACTGAGACCGGATTAACCAATTCTAGATCATTTGATGATGTTTTATACCTGCAAAAAGATTCACAGATGAAATCAAAGTGCAATTTATAGGAATTATTAATAAAATGAATAGATTATTAATTAAAATGTTGAAGAGACGATGGTATTTGCTTTCATTTTTACTTTCAAATTTCAAAATGAGCTTTATGTAAATAAATCTAATTGATTTTGCTACTACCTACTTAACAAGAAATTTTTGTGATTTGTTGAAAAAGTATCCCCCAACTAAATATATATCCTCCCCAACTACTGCAACTCCAGAAGACACACGGGCTAGGAGCTCATTCTGTAAGTACTTAAGTCGCCAGGAGGCCTTATCAGCTGTCAAGCTACAGTCATCACCTGGAAATTCAATTGGACATATTTAGAAAGGTGCTTCATATGTTATACAACCATGTGAATGTTCATTTATATGTAATTAAAAAGGAAATGGCCAAGTAAAATACGATAAAACACAGAACACCGAAGAATAGAATTGAAATTCATTAATATAGCATCTTTCTAGTATGCAACTTCTTCATTACCCTTCCATCACTGACTAACAAAGACTAGAAAGAATTTGGTAAATAACTCCCCGAACCTGTGAATCCCGTGTGACACTGACAATGATTGTTGAGACAGTCCCCATTGAGGGAGCAATTATCGGGACAGATGATTTCACTACAGTCCTCCCCTTGGTACCCCGAGTAACAGATACAGACGTCCCCTGAGCAGTTCCCTCGCCCTGAGCAGTTCTCAGGGCAACCACCAGTCCTAGTGATGCAAAGGAGTTTAATTATTCATCAAATTTATCAAACGACAAGGAAATTTCAAGTTTTTGTACATAAATCATGTTTACGTTAGAACTAATGACAGTTGTGTATTAATATACACAATGAAATGGTAAACTTGAAAATGCAGTTGAAGAGGAAATTATTAACAACTTCACAATAGGATAATTTGGAAATGTGATTGCATATATTTAATATGTTTTTGTTTCCATATTTATAGGGGAGAGAAGATTAACACATTTAAATTTAGATCATAAAGAAGTTTAGCTATTGTAAATCGCTTTTTATACGCGAGAACGTTATTTACGCGATTTTAATTTGCAGTACCAATACCTGCCAAATAACTGATAAGCAACTTACAATCAGTCAATTTCATGGAACAAAAAAAAAGGTGATTCAGTTCTAGTTGAGTTCGCGTAAATAAATTTTTTGTCTGTGGATGGTGACTAGGTGACTGTTCATGCAGAAGTAACCTCTACAAATATGGAAATTTCATGGTCAGTGCTTCGCGAAAATTACGTTTCGTGATTAAAAATACTTCGACTGTGTGCAAGAAAAACTTAAAAGAGAACCTAACACTTAACAAGTGTCTTAAATCAATGGCCCTTTTCACAATATGTTTTAAGATAAAAATTTGACAGCTCTTTAATTTTTTGTTTGATAAACTTAATTTTTTTTGTTTAATAAACATATTTACTTTTTTCTCAATTTTTTGTACAGTGTAATCTAATGTTATAGAAATATAAGATTTATTGTGTTCTACTACAGCTTAGATACTTTTTGAGGAATGGGAAAATCTTTGTCTTAGTCGTAATTTTTTTGTAAAAGAGCAACCTGTCTTCTATAGAAAAATTCAAGATTTTGTATAAAAATATGCACTACAGTAATGAACATTTTTGAACATCGGAAGATCTAAGTGTTTTTACCTGTACGTAATATTAAACCCTGACATGTTGTACGCAGCATCGCTGTAGAAGTACAGATAAGCCTTGCCAGAACTGGTTCGGATCTCTTGTAGTTCAGTAGTGGACGTGTAATCTTTATGTATTAAACCACTATAATGATAATTTAAAGAATATTCATGAAAGAAAAACGTTACATGTACGTCAAGCGTCCTTTTTCTTTTCGAAAAAGCCACGATCGCTTTATTTTTTACTCATTTTGTGAATAAAATTATCGCAATAAAAAGGAAAAGAATTCTGAGGTTTAATCACGACCTGAAAGCTGCCAGTAAGGGAGAGAAGGCAGAGTCCCCGTCGTAGATATAGAGGTGGTCCCAGCCACACTCCGTGGAGAACTGATGGAATTGGAACCACAAAGAGGTGTTCTCACGCCCCGTGTCTACCAACCACGTACATTTATTGTCCTCAGAGTAGTTACCGTGACCATCAGAGATTATCCCATCTGTATTTTGTAATCTATAAATAAAAAATGTATCCTTTATAAAACACAATCACAATCTGAAAAACAGCAATTGGACCCATCAGACAACCAGTCCAGAAAGCCCAACCACCAATCAAAATTGTACCGTGAAACTGGCTTACATGTTATTCTGAATGAAGATGCTTCAAAAAGCATTGAAGCCTACAAAAATTGGGTCACAATCAACTCAAGTCTGAACATTAAAAATGACATAATTTTAGGAAACTTCGATAAGGTACAGATTCTTTAATACTAAGTACATAAGTAGTGAAAAGGAGAAAATTGCGAACAGTGATCAACCTTAGAAATCTTATAAACAGATCAAAACGAGCACAAGGTAAAAATACAAGCACATGGAAACCCAGTAAAGAATGTGGTAAGTATGTCCAGAATGTCTTCTTACAGTAAATCAACAAGGGAAGGAATCTAAGTAACACAGCATTTACCTATTCAGGGTAGATAAAAAGTATTCACCATTCCCCATCATCTATATCATCTTGGGCAGGTCCGACTCTTGCTCAGTTCAGCTAAATAGTTTGTATTAGTTAAAGTTTTCTTAAGTTCTTCCAAATAGCTTAATTAGCAAGCTGTTTTAAACTATGTATTTTTGCAAGTTGCAGTTTTTCTACTTTTTTATATAAAATCTCAAGTAGATGACATGGAAATTTCAATTTTCAACTTTTCTTTTTTAAAAATTGCGTGGATAAAAATTCTGTTTGAATTGCATTCAGGACCAAACAATAACCAACACTATGAAAATATAATGGAATCCAATCCAGGTTTACAAGATAGCCGATTGGTAATAATTCAACAAAAAGTAAAAGATGTCAAAGAAAATGAAATGATAATAAAATTCTTAAAGACACAAAGTGAACAGGGCATAAAACATGGTCCCCTGGAAATACCAGAGGTGGGATCAGATGCCTAAGAAGAGTAAGCATCCCCAGTTGACCAGTCACATCTACCATGAGCCCTATATACTGATCAGATAGACGGGGCAATCTGATTGATTGAATAATTGTATGTTAATTTACGTTGAGAATTTTTCACTCATATATAGACGTCATCATATATGGCGAAGGGCTTCAAATTTTGACCTATACTCGGCACTCAGGACCTTTGAGCAGTGAGGTTCTTTATCATGCCAACGCCTACTGCGTGACACGGAACCTCTGTTTTTAGGGTCTCATAGACCCATGACTTTCACTTCTAGTGCCGGGCACTTGGCGAAGGAACAGTCACTACCTATGTTTACGTCTTAAGTCTGCGAACTTGATTCGAACCTGGGCCTCCCGATCACTCTGAGGACTATTTTAGTATGCAGGTGTTAGCGGTATATTAATACATAAAGTAAGGAAATTTAAAGTCTCCTCGTTTGTCATTCTGTTTGCAGCTCATATTGCTTTAAATGTAACGTCAAGCGGTTTGATACGTTTTTGACGTAAGTCATTGTGACGCAGGCAACCCATGTTATACCCTTTAGTCGAATTTTTTTATCCAAACAAATGACGCGTTACAACCAAAATTGAATTATAAGAATTTATTGCCAATATGAACCTGACCCTTTCTGGCAGTAGCGCATTCAGAGGTGCAATCAATGGGGAAAAAAGCAAACAGTTAGGCTAACGAAACCAAAGAATCGTATTACAGACCAAACCTACACAAAAAGTCATTACCTGATTCTACCAGTACAATGTTTACATTCAGGTGGCGCCCAGCCTACGTCACACACACACGATCCATTCATACATCTACCCTCAACACAGTTAGACAACGAACATGTATCCACTTTTGTGTATATTGTCTGGACAGTTAAAACTAGCACAATCAAACACAAATACAAATAGCTCTGAGTTAGTTTTCGTTTCTTTTTCTCAACCATCTTGTCATAACTATTTATAACGGACCAGGAAGTGTTTCGATCAAAGAAGAATAAGACGGACTGAATAGCTGAGTAATGGGATATTTAAATTCAAAGTCCATTTAATTGTGTGCTACGTTTTGTAAAACTAGATACAAGAAAGATATCATATTTTACGCAGGAATGTGTAAACAGGTAAAATCAACGCAATATCAAAAATGTAATGAAAAAGGTGAAGAAAACGAGCAGAATTCAATCTTATGAATCCTTAAAACAATACAAATCATGAACAAATTTTAAAAAACATACCTCTGCAGCTGGAAAGCCAGAGGTGAATCAGGTTCCTAAAAAGTGACACAAGTACTTTGGAGTTGATATCTAAAAGATGCTTGAATACCCAATTGACAATATCTATGTAGTTTTTGGAGATCAGGTCTTCCAACAATCTATTGGAATTCCCATGGGTACCAATTGCGCACCCTTATTAGCAGACCTATTTTTGTATTCATATGAAGCAGAATTTATTCAAAAACCTCTACATGAGAAGAAAACACTTGCTGTGGCCTTCAACTCGACATTTAGATATATCGACGACATATTATCAATTAACAAAAGTTACTTCCCTTCATATGTCTATTCGATATATCTCAGTGAGCTTGAAATAAAAGATACTACAGAGTCTGACACATCTGTTTCATATTTGGATATTTTACTAGAGAAAGAATTTAATGGTAACCTAACATCAAAGCTTTATGATAAACGTGATAACTTCATTTTTTCAATCGTCGCCATATGAACTATTTCTAATTGATAAAACATTGTTGATATATCAGAATGTCCAATTTAAGGCCACAGAAAATGTTTCTTTTTATGTAGAAGTTTTTGAATAAATTCTGCTTCCTAGGAATATAAAAACAGGTCGGCAAATAAAGGAGCACAACTACTTTCCATCGAAGCTCCAACAGATTGTTGTAAGACATGGTCTCCAAAGACTACCTAGATATTGTCAAAGAGGAACTCTGGCATTTGTTTAAAATATCAACCTCAAAGTACTTGTGTGTAAAATCAGAGTGATTTTTAACAAAGTCATTTTCTTGATGACCAATCACAAGATATGAAAATGTCCGAGTTCCATTTTTATTGAAAAAGCAGTGGTTTTATGACATCACAAAGCCAAGTTTTTAGCTCACCTCAACGAAGTTGGGGGAGCTTATGTAATACCCTCGGCGTCGGCGTCCCAGGTTAAGGTTTTTGGAGCAGTTTTCTTTTCAAGTACTTCTATGGCCTATATTAGTCAGAGATGCATGGAGGATGCTTCTAGTGTGTTTTATTGTACCAGTCAAGGTTTCAGATGCTGCAATTTCAGCTAAAGAATGACCAGGTTGATGTTTTTGGAGCAGGTTAAAGTTTTTGGAGCAGGTCTCATTTCCAAGTAACTATAAGCCCTATATTGACCAAACTTGCATGGATGATACATCTAAGGATGCACACTACTGGACTTGCTTCGGTTGCTGAATCTGACCTATATTTTATGGATGAGTGACCAGGTTAAAGTTTTTGGAGCAGATGTCATTTCCAAGTAACTATAAACCCTATATTGACCAAATTTGCATGGATGATACATCTAAGGATGTACACTTCTGGACTTGCTTCGGATGCTGGATGTGACCTACATTTTCCGGATGAGTGACTAGGATAAAGTTTTTGGAGCAGATGTCATTTGCAAGTATCTATAAACCCTATATTGACCAAACTTGCATGGATGATACATCTAAGGATGCACACTACTGGACTTGCTTCGGATGCTGGATCGGAGCTATATTTTCTGGATGAGTAACCAGGTTAAAGTTTTTGGAGCAGATCTCATTTCCAAGTAACTATAAGCCCGATATTGACTAAACTTGCATGGATGATACATCTAAGGATGCATACTACTGGACTTGCTTCGGATGCTGGATTTGACTTACATATTCCGGATGAGTGACCAGGTTAAAGTTTTTGGAGCAGATGTCATTTCCAGAAACTATAAACCCTATATTGACCAAACTTGCATGGATGATACATCTAAGGATTCACACTACTGGACTTGCTTCGGATGCTGGATCTGACCTACATTTTCCGGATGAGTAACCAGGTTAAAGTTTTTGGAGCAGATCTCATTTCCAAGTAACTATAAGGCCTATCTGAACCAAACTTACATGGATGATGCATCAAGGGACGAACAATCTCAAAACTTGCTTCGGATGCTGGATTTGACTTACATTTTCTGGATGAGTGACTAGTTTTAAGTTTTCAGATAAGTCTATTCCCAAGTAACTGCAAGTCCTATCAGACCAAAATTGCATAAATGTTGCATCTAGGGATGCACACTCCTAGATTATTAGTTTAGTGTGGGACTTTGCCTTACTTAAAGACAACATTCGTTGAGGTGAGCTCTGTAATCTCTGATTACCTATGTTTAATTCATCGTAAGGAATGGTTGTTTAAAGTGTAGAAAAGTCGTACGCTTAGATGTTACTGAATTTTAAAAAATTAGGTGATTTTAAATTTTCGAAAAGTTTTTTGGGAGTTTTTGAGAATCTACATCTGATTTACACCACTTCTAGAGTATGCTGTACCACTTCTCCTTTACAGCAGTTAATATTTTGTAAGCAGTGAATATAGGGGCTAGGTAGAGCACTTGCTGGACACGGGTGTAACGAAGAATTTTGAACTGGGTTGAAAATTGACTCGGGGTTTATTTTTCAAAGTTGAACAGTGAACCAAGGATGACTTTTCAACTTTGAAAATTAAAACCAAACGTACTGAATTTTGCACCAGGGAATAATTTTTTTACAGCCTTGTAGTTTATTTTTTCGGCACTGAAGTCAACAATGTGTTGAAAATAGACGCCGTTGAATATTGACCCAAACTACAGATTTTTACCCTGTGTCCGATCTGGAAGTTGTTAAACATGATTTATATGTACTTGTATCAGATCTGCTAAATATATTTATCAGTTTCAGAATTTGAATGTCTTCTAGCATAATAATAAGATATCGCACTGAAATCAGCAAACCTACAGCATCCCGATTATACATGCATGTGAAAGTTAACTGTTGTTCAGTACATATTATCTCTTATTTCATGGTCATCTTTGACAAAAGTTATTAAAGATGAACTACTAGAATGACCATATACAAGACCCTTCATCGTCTCCCCCCTTTCTGATGTCTATTATGAGATACAGCTATACAGCTTACTGTATACTGGTGCCTAGAAAAGTTTTGCATTTATTATTTTTTTCAAATTGGGACAAAAGGTAGATATTTTTTCTATAACGATTACAGTATACAAGTATATATACATATAATGGAACAGCTCATTTAAATTTTACAACAAAAAATTAACCAGATTTACAGTATTTATCTGTATGTATTTGATACCTATATTCTAATCAATTGACTGTAAAGTAAATCTCTTAAACATAAGAATTTACATCAATGCATAGCTTACACATCTCAAGAACATCTTGTAAGGGATTTGCTGGAAGAACTTTTTTTTCTACTTCTGGAAAACTAACTTAAACTCCTAGTTCACTTTCTGAGAATGAAATTTTTCAATATCATGCTCCAGTCTATAAAAAATGCTCTTAACGTTCCAGTCAACGAAAGTGACTTCCAATTTACCCTGTCAAAACTGGATTCGATTCCTAAACGAAATGAAAGCTTTTACAAATAAAGATACATAACGGGATCCAGTAAATGTTCTAACGAGCCTCTTTCTTAATATTAAAAATATTAACTGCTATGAAGGAGAAATTGCAGGCGTTCTACGTTACAGCATATTCAAGAAGTTGTGTACTGCAGTAAATCAAATCTAGACGTTCAAAAACCGCTAAAAAATTTTAAAATAACAATTTTTTTCAAAGTCAGTAACACAAAAATTGTATGATTTTTGAACACATTATACTAGCATTCCTCAGGATATAAAATTAAAGATTGTGTTTTTTGATATAGTAGACAACTTCTTCAAGAAGAAAGAAACTAGGGGATCCCACCTCTGATGTTTTTAGAGGTCTGTGTTTGCTCTGCTCTAATTTTTCATTGTTTGAATAGGCTTTGGGGTTGAATGCTGTTCGTTATCTTCATATTTCATCCTATCTTGTGATTGTCAGATATTTTTTTTCTTTTTTGTATAGTTTTGTAGATTGCCTCTCCACCGGTAAATAAAAATAGTACTATTGCCTGTGGCGATAATATGCGAAAAGTTCACTTTAGGGAAACAGTAAAAGTATTAAACACTGAAATGTGATGTTGAAAAATTTCATCCTTAGAAATGAAATATGAAGATAACGAACAGTATTCAATCTCGAAAGTCCAATGAAACGATACGGAGCAGAGCAAACCTCAAAATTTAGAGGTGGGGTCAGGTGCCATGGAGGAGAAAGTGAACCGTGAGTTTAAGTTGGATTTCCAGACGTAGAATTAAAACCCAGTTCTTCTAAAATATAGTTATGATAATTAGCCTTACAAACAGATGATATTTTTATAAGCCTTGTCTGCTGGAGCCATAGCATTTTGTTCATGTACTCTTTCTGGTTATTTTATCACCTCCGATTAATTTAGTGAATCGTTTAGAAAGTTAAAAGGCAATATGCAAATCAGTTATTCTTCCGATAGATGATTTGCATATTGCCTTTTAACTTTCTAAACAATTCTTTATTAAATTTCTAAAAGAATCCATTCTGGGAAAGTGTTCAAGTCTTCCTCTTCATTTTTATCCCAACGTCTGGCATAATCTTCGACAGAATTCATAACAGAAATGAAGTTCTCTCGCCAATTGAAAGATCGGGGCTCCCTGTATTTAGGATCTTTTAAGATAATTGCTTTTAGGTCGTCATTTTCAAGTAAATTGTATATTTACATCACCGGTAACGAGATGTCCAGCAGGACTGTAATTGAAAAAAGAACAAGATCACTTTAGAGGAAAATGTTTTAGATGTTCAATATCAAGGCACTAAATAAATGTTTGTTTATATTGAAAAGTTTGGAGGCAACAGTTTTGAGAATATCTTTAGGAAATGCAGAGTATAGACTTCAACTTGAAAATATGGTGGAATACAAGACTAAACTTTTTTATGATTAGTAGTACTTATTACTAATGTTTACAACATCTATTCCTTTGGCTTTGTTGGCAACTTTAAGGAATTTTCATCTTCTGATACGTGGGGTGGCTTAAAGAGCCTGTGCTGGGCAACATCCATAACCACAAACACTAGATGAACAATCCAAGTATGGATTTGATTTAGCTTAGACTATAAATAGTCTATTCAAAATATTTAAGGAAAGATTAGTGCGAATGTGATGAAGACCTAATTGTTTTTGACGCAAGGTGAAAGTGAATCAAAAGAGACATCATGTATTTTTGGTCTTTTGTATGATCGATGTCATTGACTACATCTTGTCTGGGTGTATTGTTTGTTTGTTTTTTGTTTAATGTCATTTTCGAGAATTTTTCACTCATATTGAAACGCCACTTGATGGTGGAGGGCTGCAAATATAGACCTTTACCCGGCACCTAGTCATTGAGCAGTGACGGATGTTTTTTTTGTGCCAGCACTTACTGCAACACTGGACCTCAATTTATATGGTAAAATATATTAAGATTACGAACAGTATTCAGGCTCAAAAGTCCATCAAACAATACAAAATAGGAGCAGAGCAAACACGGACCTCCAAACATCACAGGTGGGATCAGGTGCCATGGAGGAGTGAGCATCCCCTGCCGACCGGTCACACCCGCCGTGTGCTCCTTGTCATGATCGGGAAATAACGGAAAAATCCGTCGACAATTCAGTGTGTAAATAATGGCCTAACAATTTGTATGAAAAACGTCAGTCAGCATTTGACTCAATGATAAATTGTATTTGCTGACAAGGTCATTGTATCGACCATAGAACTTACGAAATGATGACTTTAAACGAGACAGCTGATATTCTTGTTTCATCAACTTGTTTGTCAATAATTTACCTCATTTTGGAAATTGCACATACGTAGAGCATGCTCTTGCGTATCGAATCAACTGAGAGATATATACCGCTTATGCAGGTGATGAAGGTATATTGCTGCATAAGTAAGGGAAGTTGACGATTGAAAAGTTAAAGTCATCACGTTTATCATAAAGCTTGGTTGTTAGATTTCCATTAACGTCTTTTTCAAGTAAAATATCCAAATATGAAACAGATGTGTCAGACTCTGTGGTATCTTTTATCTCAAGCTCACAAGGATATATCGTATCGACATAAGAATGGAAATACCCATTGTTAATTGACAATACGTCGTCGATATATCTAAATGTCGAGTTGAAGGCCACAGCAAGTGTTTTCTTCTTTTCACGTACAAGATTTTGGACAAATTCTGCTTCATATGAATACAAAAAAGGTCTGCTAATAACGGGGCGCAATTGGTACCCATGGAAATTCCAACAGATTGTTGGAAGACCTGGTCTCCAAAAACCACATAGATAATGTCAATAAGAAACTCAAGCATCTTTTTAATGTCAACTTCAGAGTACTTGTGTGTACAATCAGAATGTTTTTTAACAAAATAATTTTGCAAATGACCAATGACAAGGTAAGTAAATTTACGAGTTTCATTTTTATTGAAAAAGCAGTTGTCAATGATATCAAAAAGCATGGACTTTAATTCATCGTGGGGAATGGTTGTTTATAAAGTTGAAAAGTCGTAAGTTTTTAAGCTGTTGATTTTGGTAAAATCTTGTGATTTCAAATTTTCCAAAAGTTCCTTGGAATTTTTAAGTATCCACATCTGATTTACACCACTTCTCGAATATATTGTTGCACAGTACTCTTGAAGTTTCTCCTTCACTACTGTTAATATCTTAGTGAGGAGTAAAGAAAGAGGCTTGGTTGAACATTTACTGGAACCCGCTATGTATCTTTGTAAGGATTTTTATGAAGTTTTGGTATCCAAATATGGTAATTCAAATTCATTTTGGTTGTTTGGAATATTAAAAATATTCAAAACTGACATAAGATTTTGAAGGATGTCTTCCGTAGAAAGGGAACTATGAGTATAAGTTGGATTACCACTTGTAGAATTAAATCCAAGTTCCTCTAAAATACATTTAATATAATAAGCCTTACAAATAAAGACAACGTTGTTACCTGCTTTGTCAGTAGGGACCAGTACGTACTGATCATGTAATCTAACTCCTTTTTCACTTCTGGATTATTGAACACAGAAGGATAGATGGTTCTCATATTGCCCCTAAATCTTTTATGCGCGATTTTAACATACATCTGATACATTTAATCCATTCTGACAAAGTGTCAAGGTCTTCTTTTTTCATGTCTGGCCCATTGCCTGGCATAGTCCTCTACAGAATCCATAATATTTATGAAATTCCGACGCCAGTTGAAGGATCGGGGTTCCCTATATTTAGGACCTTTTAAAATCAGTGATCTAAGGTCCTCATTATTAACTATATTTACATCTCCAGTAATAACGTGTCCAGCAGGACTATAGTTATAGGGTGAAGAAGAACATGAACACGATGGAGGATTATGTTTCAGATGTTCGATATCCAGGCCATGTAAAGTTTTCTTGTAATTAAAAAGTTTGGAAGGAATATCTAAAGGACCGCACTCCACATCACACAGTGGATTCAAACCCACTTAACTCCTTACTCAGCGACTCTAGAGCAAATGCTCTAACCACTGTGTCATTTCAATTCACGTGACCTTGGTATCATTTCCTCCTTTACTTCTTGCTCATAGGCCTCAAAAACATTACTTAAAAAACAATCCTTTCATAATTTTATTAATTGTAACATCTACATAACTAAACATGTCAGTAAAACTCTTAAGTGTAGTTGCCATTAAAACACATTTACACCAATTTCACCTAGTAAAAAAAGAACACTCTAATCTAATGTTGTAAATATTAAATCTCTATATGAAAATCCAGAATTGTTAGTTGTTCAGAAAAAAGTCACATCTTCTTTTCAGAATCAAGTTAATGTTAAAATACTTGATATCCAGAAAAAAATTAAGAATAATTTTTTTGTGATTTTTTGTTTTCAGTGCACTCTGGGCTAAGCTTCACTATAAATATGGTACAAATTTTGGGAAATGATATTCTCAAGAAGGCTAGCATAGATTATTGCACCTCAAAATTGTTCTGAGCATGTTCAATTTAAATGACCAGAAAATCCAGCAAGATTACAGGTTTTCTAGGAATAATGCATTGTGAAAGCTACAAGCAAGAGATTTCTGATTACAAAAAAAAATCCCACAACCTTAAAATAATAAAGTCCTCCATCATTCTTCATTTCACAGCAATAACCCACCATAGTTATTATGATTAATTACCCTGATTATTATGTTACATATATATCTTTAAGTCTTGTCTTTGATTCTCGGGAAATGACCATCACCCAATTTAAATGTTAAAGCAGTAAGCTGAACAGCCAATGAAGATCTGCAAAAGAGGGGCAATTACAAAATCTCATTCACAGACTCAAACATTTAAAACTTGCTGTTCAGGTAGAATTGCATAAGACTATACACATACACATTCAGGTGCAACAGGTGTGAAAATATGAGAAACACTAACAGACCTTGGTACAAAAATAAAACAGGTATGTCAACACAAAAGTCCTGCATAGTAATTAGAAAATACACAAACATACTCTTAAAACTAAACTGTCATAATCTACAACCTAAGTAACTCTACTGAACTCTCAAGCACTTAGTAATACAAATGGGATATCTTAAACTGCAGAAACGTGACTAGCAGGAAAATTGCTTAATATTTAGCAAAAGTTACACTTTGGTAAAAAAAATAATACTTAATGGTTTCCTATATAAAGTGATTGCAGGATTGAATATAATAAATAGTTGACATATTTTCAAATAGAAGCTATATTAAATAAAATACACAAAGAGGGTGATATCTTTTGCAGTGGAGGGATATACTAAATCTCAGTTTATAATAAATGAGCTTAAAGTGACCACAGATCAACAATGTTTGGAAACTGTAATTCTGGAAATTTGTCACGAAAAATGATGCTGTTTGGAAAATCATCTATTATGGAAAAGGTTTCTATTCCAAAATTACTGATTTATTTAATCAAATATATTATTGCATTTTGTATGGAATTCTTTTTTTATCCATCAAAGTAAAATACAGAGTTATCAAAAAGTGCTGAATGACGGACAACCCTAAAACTATACAATTAGTCCACGCATAAAAAACAAACAAAAATTTCTTTTTTATCTATTCCTCAGAAAAAATAACAAGATTAAAATGTGGAACGAGGATTTGTCTGCTTGGGAAGTAGCTAGAAGAGATTGCAGAATGGGCTTATTTGGCTGGGCTAGTGCCGAGCTTGGTAGGGCTGCCTACACGGCCCGGGCTTGAGGAGTAGATGCCCAGTGGTTTGTCTGCTTCCTCCATGGACAAGCTCCTTGTTCGCCGGGTCAGAATCTCGGTGTTATCCTGGGAGTTACTTCTCACGCGTGGCATGGGTACTCCACCAACTACAAAAAAAAAATACGTAACACATTGAGTGGTAACATCATCTTAAAATCATCAAAATGTAAACTTTAAAACTATAAACTATAAAACTTTGGATTTTTATTTTTTTTATGGTCCTTAATTTTGAATTTGGAAACATATAATTTAATACAAAAATTCTAAATTATGCCCCTTCATAAATATGCACAGAGATGTCAAAAAATAATTGGGATTAAGTAATTTACAAATAAAATACAGACTCAATCTTGTTCTTTCATTGTTAGGATTCATTATTTTGTCAATGGTATATATATAAAAATGGAAAACACGGGCAATTAAACATTGAATAGCTCACCTCAATTAATGATCCTTATGAAATAGTCAATCAGATTCATTAGCCTATTTCATTAGTACAGTACTTATGTAACATGTAGAATGAGAGCAACTGAAGAAGTATTCAGATGCATCATCAATGCAAGTTTGATAAATGTAAGGCCTATTTTTAGGCCTAGTTAATGGAACTGCTCCAAAATCTTTAATATGTGCACTCATTCAGAATATAAGGTCAAATACACCATCTGAACCAGGACTGCTAGAATGCATCTCTGGATCCATCAATCATGCTAGTTTTGCCCAGGTAAGGCTCATAGATATTTGGAAATGAACTTTTCTGAATAACCTAGTCACCACCAGGGAAATACATGTATATTATGCTACATTCCAAGCAGGATTGGCACTTCCTTCATGTATTATCCATGCAAGTTTGGTGTAGCAATTAGAGATAATTGCAAATACTTTCACCTGACTATCTTCCTGAAAATATAGGTCATATATATGTCAAATATAGGTCAGCATTTACAACAAGTCTGGTAGTGTGAATGCTGAAAATATAGGTCAGATGCAGCCTTTAAAACAAGTCTGGAAGTATGCAAGCTAGGTCCAGGTAAGGCTTATTGCTTTGAGAAATGAACATCACAACTTCCACTGAGGTGAGCTTAAATATGTTATACCTGCACATGCATATCTTTCATAATTCAAGATACATTAGTGAATAACTTGACAAATTATATACATACTATATTTCAAGTTCATTAAAACATGTACAATGAATACACTGTTATTCAGCTGGCAGAGTGTTAAGATAGGATTTTGGTAAAGATTGCCTTAATGAGCTGTGAGGGAGGATTACTCTCAGAAAGCTGTTTAGCTCAGTAAATGGCGTTAGGGTGTCTCACCACAACCCAAAATCAGTAAAAGTTAAAATATACAGACTGAGGGGGACTAGCTTGAGACTGAAGCTAATTAATCATGTGGTTAACGAGAGGGGTTATCATGAGGGGGAGCTTGAAATAGGAGCTTGTTAATCAATGTGTATGGATAATGAGGACTGATACTCATGAGGGGGAGGACAATGAGATAGCTAATCAGTATGTGTGAAAACCCAGTAAGGAGATGAGCTCGAGATTGGATTTAGTTGATCAGTGCATGTGAACAATGATAACTGATACCCCCTGGAGGGATGAACTTGAGATTGTAGCTATTTAATGTATAAACACTGTGGATTAGGCCAAACAAAAAAATATGTGTGGTTCCGGTTACACTTCCAAAAAAATTAGGGTAGGTAGGTAGGGATTTTTTTTTTTTTTTTTTTTTTTTTTTTTTTTTAACAAAATGATTTTCTTAATTTTTTCTAAATAATACCTATCACTGCTTTGCAAGTGGCATTTAGATGTGGTGTGATAATATACTAGTCAATATTGGTAGGGGACACCTACATGCTAGCTTGCTTAGGATTTAACACAATTAAACACTTGCACTATGTTTTGCAAGGAGGCCGTCATTGCTGAAACTAAAACTTAAACTGGAGACATTGATGGAAATCGGGGAAAATTCCGGAAAAAATATGAAAATTGCCAAAAAAAGTTTAGGGTCAGGGGTATAAAATAGGGAAGGTCGGGTAACCGGAACCACACATATTTTTTTATTTGGCCTTACTATCCTTGAGCAGGACAAGCGGATTGAGTGGATCTAGAATGGTCGAATACTAGGTAAACTGTAGAGAACCTGGTAAATAAACCTCATTTCACCTTGTTAAAAAAAAACTTCCCAGCCCAATTAGTATTGTACTTATTTGTGTTAATCACTAATTAAAAAGGTTTTATTATGTATTAGTAAATATAAAGCAGTGTTTATATAGGGACAATGTTTGCTGCCTTATACTTGATGCAGAATTTGCTTAACAGAATAATTTTAATATTACTAGATGCTTATTTGCTGTAAGTAATAATAATCTTCATTTATCTAACTTTCTATCATTCATACAATTATGAAAAACCCCTAGACTGTTTTAACACAGATCCAATGATATTCCCAGTTAAAGATACAGATTACTTTTAAAGTCTGACGAGTTGATAGAAGAAAATTTCCACACAGCCAGTGGAACAATTTTAATGTCAAAAGGACCAAGACACTGTAAGTGTTCAAAATGCTATAGGCACAACTTACAGAGTAACATTTTAAAATCTTGTTTCAAAAAAGTTGCTTATTGAAGCAAAGAGAATTAAGTCTATCAAATATGGGGTCAAAGATCAAGGCCAAAGAAAGTGACAGGTTTGGTAATAGCTTTGTTTCAGAAAGATTGCTGATTTCTAGGTCAAAGGTCAGTGAAAGGTGTTGATAATATTGTGAACACCATAACAGTTCTGTTTTTAAGAAATTGTGATTTTGGAATGAAATCATGTTTAGCACGGGGAAGCCACACTTTGCTGTGCTCTTGTTATTTCTGTCTTTGACTAAAGCCAATGAAGAACATAGTTACTTATGATATGTGTAAAAGAAATGCAAGAAAGCACAATGCATGTTTATCAAAATACCAAATAATTTTTTTTTAGTATTAAATATATAGTGTTTTTAAAAAATGAAATAAAATATACTTTATGAAAGCTTTTCCATGCATAATTTCATTCCAATTAAGGTTATAAAATCCTGCCTCTCAAATCATTATTTTCAAAACTTGGCTCCAGAAGTTTTTAAAAATATTTCTCCCCATTGAATATAACTTTACTTCTTAAAGGTTTTCAATTAGAAGTATTTTCAAATTTTTGAGTTAAAATTCAACAAATTTTACCAAAAATTGTTCATTGACAGAATTTCAAAATCTAGGTTATTGTTCAATCAGTGAAGTCTCACTGCTAAATAAAGAACGTTCAGGCAGAGAGTAAATAAAATGATGCGCCTACACCCTGAAACCTGTTATAGCGACCCGATCTATTAGCAGCTGTATTACAATTCTACGGGAACGAGCACACATAGCTTACCCCAAAGACAGATATAGTAACCCCCCATCACTCCGCATGGGGCTCCAGTGTCGCACGAAAGCTCACCCTTCTTGGCCCTAAGACAAGTCAGGCTAATATGTCAGAACATGTTAAGCTTAGGTTTTTATATATATTTATAAGCGAGATTTCTTTGATACAAAATTGGGCTAAGAAAATTATAAATACAAGTTCAACAGATTTTAAATGCTATAAATATGTAACCTGGTTATATATGGTGAATTTCTACTTTCAACACAGGAATAACTACATGCTGTTAGTGTTTTAATGAGTTACGGGCCTTACAAAAGGACCTCATCTGTCTTAAGACAGCTTAAAGTGATCTGACAATAGGTTATTACTCAGAGCAAGGATAAGGTCCACAGATTTTCCTCATTTTGTGGATTCTAGATCAGCAATGTTTGATGATAATGGCTAGTAATTGTGGATTCTAGATCAGCAATATTTGATGATAATGGCTAATAATGATATACTGTTTTCAACATAAACATGATCCACCCTTTTAATATTTCACTTTTAAACTGTGCAGAGTTTTAGATGAAGTATATATCAAATGTTTATTTCCTCAATCTCAGATTTACAACAAATATTTGCAATAGTAAAGCATTACATTTTGATCCGACTTCTGCATCAATTACCAAAATTAATTTTAAAATCATTGTAATTAAATCATTTGATTCATAAACTGTGCTTGGTTTTGGGAGGTAAAAACCTACAAAATCGCCTGACAAAATCCCCTCTTTCCTGGTTACTTATGCAACTAATCCCCCTCCAAGCTGTAGCACACTATTTACCATGTGTTAGTCACACAGAGATTAAAGTTAAAAACTATACTCACTAACTCCAAGTCCCTGACAGAAGTACAGAAAGGCCTCAGCTAGACGTTCAGGCTGAAAAGTGAAAAGTTTGCAATTATGAACAGTCGCTAGATTTCTTGCTGTAAAAAGTTTGCCATTACTTAACACTCCAAGAATTCTTACTACAAAATCATGCTCAATCATCTAGAGCAAGAAACACAACGGTCATGCCATTTAGTGAGCCTTTAAAAAAAATTCAAAGAGAAACTCAAAAGAGCATTTAATTGCTAACCTTTGAAAATTCCAAAGTTTTCAAAATCTCAACTTTCTTTTAAAATCTTTCCAAGACTTAATTAGAACACTCAGACTTTCCATGATTAGTGAAAACCAAGTGGAATTAAAAATTTTTTCACCAAAAATCTTGTGCAAAGATTTTTTTTTTAAATTATAGATTAATTTTATATACCAGGAAAATTATTTGTTTGATCAATCAGCACATATACTCAAGTCATTCCTTGTAGTTACTAAATTTAAAATTGCCACGGAGAGCTCTACATATGACCCATGATAATGATATTCTGTCACAGTGCCTGGACCTACCTTCTCCTCAACAACATTAGCCACACCCTCAACTTCAATGATCTCCACTTTGTTTTTTTCCATTTTAGCCAACATAAAGCCTGCCAGAGTGTGGACAGTGTGATTAAATGAGGCAAGAGCACCTGTCACTAGCAGCACAGGGCACCTGTAAAATCACACACAAATTTATATCTTCAGCAAAAAGCACCTGTCACTAGAAGCACAGGACACCTGTAAAATCACAGACAAATTTATTTCTTCAGCAAAAAGCACCGGTCACTAGAAGCACAGGGCACCTGTAAAATCAAAGACAAATTTATATCTTCAGCAAAAAGCACCTGTCACTAGAAGCACAGGGCACCTGTAAAATCATAGACAAATTTATTTCTTCAGCAAAAAGCACCTGTCATTAGAAGCACAGGGTGTCACTAGAAGCACAGGGCACCTATAAAATCCAAGATAAATTCATATTTTTAACTAAATGCACCTGTACATATTTAATGTATCAAATTTTGCTTATTTTGCTCACTTGTCTGGGGTGGACATCCATCCCAACTTTTTTTGACCAGTGAGCTAAGATATACAGCTAATGACTATACTGTGTCATATGACCTAATTTTGGCTATAATCAGGTCAATAAACCTAGAAAGACAGAGTTACTGAAGAAAATCAGATATAGAGGATATAACTGTTTGTTTTACTTACTTCATCTTCCCCATGCTTTCAGCAATATTAGTTCTCCTACAACAACAAAAATTATAATAAAGAAATCAACCTTAGAGAGTAAAGTGTTGCTCAGTAGAAACAATGAATATTGTAACTTCATTGTAAACAAACAATGAATATTGTAACTTCACTGTAAACAAACAATGAATATTGTAACTTCGCTGTAAACAATGTCAGTTCTTTTAAACTTCTGTTAGCTGTTTAAAGCCATATACTGATTCATCAGACATCTCCTAAACTTGCTTCATGATAGACCTAACACTGAATTTGAAATGTGGACTTATACAAACTTCATAGACCTTATCAAACATTACTTTATAATGTGGACTAACTTCATGATAGACCTGACCAAACATTGACTTTTAAGATTCATAAACACTCTGCTCACTCATATAAAATGTTGCCTCAACTTTTTTTATTTTCCAAAATAAATGTATCGTATAAATAAAATACAAACTATTATACCATAGCTTGCGGGGCAAAATAAACAAAAAAGACAAATCAACTTGACAAATTTATAAAGGAATACTAGAAAATATATGTCATTAAGAGTTATCTCTCTTATCAGAGTATCAATGAACCTTAAATGTGGACTAACTTCATGATAGACTTGACCATGAATTTGAAATATGGACTTACTTCATGAAAGACTTGACAAATCGTTTGAGGTTTTGGGGGTTGATATTCTTTCGGAGTGAATGTTGGAATGAATTTATGGCCTTATTCAGCTCCTCCTGGTCCGTGGCTTTTTCAAACTGCAAGGAAAAATGATAGATGTCAAACCTCACTCTAATGACAGAATATGAGCTATATTCTGACAAAGCACTCATTGAGTCTTTTGTACAGTAATATCATTGTTATGTCAGAACATTTCTTCTGCTTACTGATCTAAGAAAATTTAAAAATCAAACACATTATAGATTATTTTTGGCATGATTTTTTTTGCTGTTAACTACCTGCATTGAATAGCAGTGAAGTCAAAGCTCACTTTGACAAGTTTGTCATGAGTACCTGATGCTGAATCCTTACTTTATCTTTCAGGCAGTACAATACAATTAACTACTTCATTTGTAGAGAATTTTACATTAGTTGTAAAGAAATAAGGCTTACACAGATAAAATTTTATCTTATTTCTTGAGATTTATATGTAAAACAAATGAACTTGTACAATACATTTATCATCTTCAATTTATAAATCAATTCAATGGACAATCTATATTTGAATCATAATGGCCAGTACACAAGTATAAAACTGTTAACATTTTAGAAATATATTAACATTTCAACATGGGACATACATTTAACATGTTTATGAACACAAGTTTAACCTACATTTTTCATTATCTATGTCAGATATGCTTTAAAACATAGCAATTAAACCTGTGAATAAAGATAATCCTTGTAGGCTATACTACAAGTTTGATCAACAAAGTTTGACTCTTCAAGTAAAATCTTTCACAAAAATTCCAGCTTTATCAAGATTAATAACTTTAGTGCAGTATTGCATGAATACAAATACACATCTTCAAAGTATCATTCATTGAAGACTGGCATGGATGTTGATTATGACCTTGACCCCTGTCCAGGATGTATATTAATCACAGGTCTAAAAATAGAATTCATATCCAGAATCTGAAACCTGCATCCTGAAATAAAATATCCATGCAGTCTGGTGAATTTAAATGGCTGTATGGACTTGCTATATCTGGTTACTTATTTGGTAGTTATAGATTAAAGCATTCAAAATAAGACTAGAAGCATGAGTCCCTAATTGCCCTAACCATGCAACATCAGAAAAGTAAGTTTTTAGCTACATGGAAATTGATCATCTTGATCATTTGCAGACATGCCGATGCCTGCACAGATATTTAGAGTGTAGGATCAGCACAAATTCTCCCTAGTTTTGTCAAAGTGAGCTAAAAATGGAATGCTAAAATTATAAATATCCTCAAGTCTGCTCATTGGTAAGAATATTTAATGGGGCTGTTGATCAATCTTATTGGAAGCTAGTGGGATGTTAAAAGTTATTTTCTCCTTGGAAATGAACATCACACACACATGCACTCAGAAGGACAATCAATACGACAATTCCAACACAACTAATCCGGAATATCTACCACATTCGCTGAGGTTTCCTGATCAATAACGATGGCAGGGTCAATGCACTGGAAGTATGAACCAGTATATCCGACCCTAGAGGCAGACTAATGTTAATATGCCAGTGGGTCACCTCGTGTCATGACACCAGAGGATAGGACAAACACTGCCATTTCAACATAAAAATCTGCCCTAGCATTGTTACAAACATGTACAAACAAACTGGGTATAACTCTCTCAGACTTTGGAAATCTTATTTTGCAGGAGTAACTTCCCTTTCGCACATAACCTATACTATATATATATTGCATACACATGTACAGATAATGGAATGTTACATTTAGTTTGTGTTGGATGCTAATTTTCTTTTACTCTATATCTGTAGATAAATTATAAAAGATAAAGTAATAAATAGGATATCTATTCAAAACTGATTGTAAAAAGCGGTTCCTTTAGCAATCTGGATTATATTTTACTGTAGTTACATTTTCGTAATAGCTTCATGCAAAGCATTCTAGACAACTACATGTTTATCGATGATACCCAGAAGTTCCCCATCTTCATGTTGAATGAGCTGATTGAGCCAACAGCCAACATTCCGGCACTCTGTCTAATAATTACAAAACAGATGTTTGCCTTCCATACTGTCAATGACCTATACCCCATCTTAATGCATTACCTTTAGCAAAGTGAGACCCAACTTATATATGTCCTAACCATTTTATGTTAATTAAGAGTCATGAATGACAAGATTACAATACAGTACATCTAAATAAAGAATGGAATTTACATATACTGAACATATGATCCTCATAAACTTTTCAAAGAATATCTTTCCTTAGCTTTTGATTAGCAAAGATCAACAAGAGGCCCATGGGCCACCATGTTCACCTGAGTCACTGTGGCCCTACTGTTTTTCAGCAGCAGAATTTTCCCCATATTCCTTTGTAAAACTTGATCGCCTATGTGGCACCACCCTACTACCCCCAGGGGTTATGATATGAAGAAATGTGGCACCACCCTACTACCCCCAGAGGTTATGATATGAACTTGAATCTTCACTACCTGAGTATGCTTCCATATTTAAAATGCCTTAACTGTTCTTGAGAAAAAGATTTAATTTAAAAGAATTTTTCCTATATAAAACTATACAAAAATTTGATTGCCCATTGTGGCTCCATCCTACCCATGGGAGTCATGATTTGAACAAATTTGAATCTACACTTCCTGAGAATGCTTTCTTATAAATATGACTATTCATTTTAAGGACATGCACAACGTACCTTACCTACTGATAATTTTTCAAGAAATTCTTAATTTAAGATTATAGTGCCATCAGATGTTTCTCAACAAAAATCAGCATGCATTACCAGGGGTTTTGAAAAGATATCAATTGATGAAAATTCTTGTATTATTTAAAGAAAAATACAAAAAAATTACTAAACATACATTCTAGATGTTTTGTTTATCCAAACTTGTTTTAGAAGAAGTGTACAACAGCATAATTATATAGACATAGAAATGCAGCACACAATTCCTTTAAATAGTGGAACTCTTCAACTCCAGGGAAAAAGACAATAAAGTTCAAACTACATTGCGTATGTCCTTAAGGACCCTCTATACACTGCACACTAAAGAAGTCTAATTCCATGGTATTTTTATGCAGTTAGAATGACCTGCTCTTTGATCTAAAACTAAATAAATTAAAACCTACAGCATTTTACTCTAATTGTATACAATTCCATATTTTCTAACATCTCTTTAGGCCAAAATAAATTAATTGAACACTTTATTTGCATGTATATTCCCCAAATAAGCAACAGTGATTTATGTTCATCAATACCATGTTGTCTTCTTACATTTTTCCTGGAGGTAAATGGCAGGTTTCATATGTTGAAAATGGAATACAGTATTGACACCTTTATATGGAACAATTTTCTCAATGTCCAAAACACATTTTTCATTTGTGTATAGAGGGTCCTTAAAAGCATTCCTGTGTAAAACTTGATTGCTGATCTTGGAATATCTTAAATTATCTCATCGTCTCAAGCCACAGTCCCGAGTCCCCATATAGCTCTCTCCTACCCGTGGCTGCTTGATCAAAAAAAGTGTTGTAATCTTGAATATTTATGCCTCTACGTTGTGACACGTCATGTTCAGCCAATGACAATATTTGTTTCCATCGCAAATGAAATCAACAACTGACATCAACAGTATACAAGAAATGTTTTGTATACTGCGATTGGGTATTGAAAGGTTGCATCAAAGTTCATCATCCAACTATGTTTTACTCGCATTAGTCAATATTTTAATGAGCTGCAAAATATTCTCTTCTCATTCAACCACGGCCAAGATGGGAGAGGATAGTACATTTTGGCCATGGTTTGCGGCAATGAAATTATCTTAAACTTGAATCTACACTATGTAATGAGGCTTTTACTTAACTTTCAACTCTTCTGGCCCAGTGGTTGCCCCCCTCCCTCAAATGGGTCATGATTTGAACAAACTTGAATCTATACTACCAAATGATGCTTCCACATAAGTTCAATCTTTTCTGGTCTGGTGGTTCTTGATAAGAAGTTTTTTAAAAGATGCCATTAAATTCTCACTAGTTTGTAATTATCTATCCTAGAAAAGGGTTGTGGTCCTTCATTTGAACAAACCTGAATGCCCTTTACCCTAGGATACTTTGTGGTAAGTTTGGTTGAAATTGGCCCAGTGGTTCTTGAGAAGAAGTCAAAAATGTAAAAAGTTTAGACAGATGGACAGACAGGTGGATGCCGGACAAAACTTGATCAGAAAAGCTCACTTGAGCCTTTGGTTAAAAACTTTTTTTAACCAGAAAATTGACAAAGTAAAACAGTACCCTGCCCAAAGTTTGCTTATATATGTATTTATAATTTTGACCTTGACCTTTGAGCAACTGTCCTCAGAATCCACAGGGATCCCTTTTCACTGTATATATAATAAGTCTGCAAGTGACCCCCAAATCAAGACCTTTTTCTCTAACCATTCTATGCCTATACCTTATATATGAAGTCTTAAGTAAGTTACAAAGCATGTATGTTACTGCATCACAATGGTCCTATTGCTAATATTGATAATACACATGTATTCTGACCAAGTGACACCAAAACTCCAGGTGCGTGTCTTTCTCTTTAAGTAATTCTTCACTGTTTTACTAAACATGGAGTTTGTAAGATAAATATACAGTACTATATATAGTATGTTACATCATATAAATAAGTAATGGTAATCATAATTAAATATATTCCTAAATGTAAACTAAGCTATTTCTGCATGTTACTTAAAGGCAGTTATCTTGCAGTGCATATTTTACATTTTTCACATTTGTTGTGACTGCACCTAATAGAGAAAATATGGTATTTCACTTTAGAGTCTCAATGCACTTTGATATTCTCCTAATTGACCCCCAGTATGTTATGGCAACATCTTTTTCTAATAGGTGGGGCCACAAATTATACTGTATTTTGATATTTCTGAAAAATGTTTTCTTTTTTGGAGGTATATTTGTATCTTTGTTTTATGTACAGTAGCCAAATGGTTTCTTCTAGAAAGCTATTTAACTTCAATGTCACCACTACACTGTCAGATTAAATTGAGCTCTGGCCCAACAAATCCTGTCACTTCTGTTTTA